ACACGCCTAAACCCTAAACCCAAAAAAATTCTGAGCCCCGTAGCATTCGCAAGCACTCAGCCTTGAGACCCAAGAAGCCCGAAGCCCTAAGCCCTAAGCCCCTAAAGCCTAAACCCCTGCACCCCTAGACTCCCAGACCTCAAACCCCTGAGCCCCCCAAAACCTTAAACCCTAAAGTTCATTATAAAAGCGTCCTAAACCTGAAACCCTTAAGCCCCTGAGCCCCCCAAACCCCTAAACCACAAAGATGATTATAAGAACGCCAGAAACCTGAAACCCTCAAATCAGGCCCCAAACCGGGAAGCCTTGAACCTTCGACTCAGAGCCCTCCAAAGGGGTGGGATGAGGGTAATTAGGATTTCGGACACCTTTCCCTAAGGCTCTACGGACTCCTAAAAAAGATCTATGAGGGGTCCTTTAAAGGGATCTATAGGGTTTAAGGCTGCAAGGACTCATATATTAAGGCTTTTGGGCCCACAGACCATACTACACACGGCTTTTGGGCCATCTTGAGCTTTAGGGTCTGCAGCACCTGCCTTCATCCCTCCTTTGGAAGCTTTTGCTAAACCTTCCTTGAACCCCTGAATCAGAGGGTTTTGGGGTTTAAGGTTCCTTTACAGGTACCATATACGGTTCTAGGGCCAGGAGTTTAGGTTAAGTTGAGGGTTCTTTTCAGGGATGTACCCCAAACCCTAAACCCCTAACCCCTAGACCCTAAACCGCTAAACCCCTAACCCCTAATCCCCAAACCCTAAACTTTAGCCTCTAAACCCTAAACCCTAAACCCCTAAACCCTGCATCCCCCAAAGCTGAGGCTTTCGGCCGCCACGGCCGAGACGCTGGAGTTGAGCAGCCTCCTCAACGAAGCTTTCGTCCTTTTTAGGGCGGTTTCACAAGGTTTTGTAGCTTTTCACTGGGAGTTTTAGATGTTTTGGTTTAGCGGGTTTACTTTTCCACGTTTCAGGGGTGGTTGAGCGCTTCTCAGACTGGGAGGGTTTGGGGTTGCATGGGTTTTAAAGGTTTTGCTGCAAGTTCTCGGGCGTAACTATGACGAAACACTAAACTCAACCCGAGAGTCGCTAAAGATGGAGCCTAACCGTAAACCTTGCGCACTACCTAGAGGCTCATACCCTACCCCTTTTTTAGGGCGCGCACTTTTTAAGATAACAGATCCTAACCATAAAACTGGGTATCCTAAAAAGGGGCTAGGGTATGATCCTCTAGGTAAACTCCAAACCCTAAAACCTATGAACCCTGAACCCTGGTCGGAGGTACCATGGCCCGCCCAAATCGGCCTCCGCGTGGAGAGCAGAGAAAAGGGCCTTCCCCAAAAAACAAGACATGCACGTGTGCAACTCTGCAAAGTCTTCATCTTCAGAAGGCCAGTTTGAGGACAGCACAGTGAAGAGAAGAAGAGAATGCTGGAGACTGCTGCAGCAGCAGGAGAAAGACGAAGCTTCAAGTGCAGTGTCGCCTCCCTCGGACGCATGCTCGATGCATCCTGGCAGTTGCAGGAGGAAAGATCGCTGCAGAGACCCTGGACACTGGAGGGTCCGGGGACTTAGTAAGTAGTTTTTATATAGACTTATAAGTACCCTAAAAGGGACCTTAATTGGGGTTATGGTACTTACAAGTCCCTAAAATAACCAGTTACTTAGTCCCCCGACCCTCCAAGTAGCGGTACTTAGAAACATTTTGTTGGTGACTACAATCCCGAAGATGCAGCTAAAGTTATGGTTTTTGCTAGGGTCCCAAGTTCAGTAAAAGATCAGTGTGCTGTCCTAAACCCTAAATCGTAATCCCTACACCCTAATCCCTGATCCCTTAACCCTAAAACCTGGTCCCTAAACCCTAAACCCTTATAGAACCCCTTTAAGGAACCCTTAAACGGAACCCCTAAAGGGGATAGAGCCCTAAATGCTCCTTAACATAGACCCAAGCCTGGCTTATATGGGTAGTTGTGAAAACTATGGTCCCTTTTTGGGCCCCTATTTTACTACGGCGCCGAATATTTAAGGTGCCCCAAAAGGGACGCTACTGTTGACAACCACCCATACTTGGAGGGTCGGGGGACTTAGTAAGTAGTTATTATATAGACTTATAAGTACCCTAAAAGGGACCCCCTAAACCCCAAACCCTAAAACCCTATAGATCCCTTTAAAGGAACCCTTTAGTCCATCAACAGTATGGCGCAGCTCGAAGGCCAGAGCAGCCGCGATCTGGTCTATGCCAGGCAGGGGTGCCGTTTTGTTTAGGGTGTAGGGGTTAGGGTTAAGGGTTGAGGGTTAAGGGTGTAGGGTTTAGGGTTTAGGCATAAGGGTTTAGGGTGTAGGGTTTAGGGTTTAGGGTTATTTGAGGCTTTAGGAGAAGTGTTGAGAATTTGTATTGGGATGAAGGTTTAGTGGGGTGTTTAGGTCTTAAGGTTCAGGGTTTAGAGTTTGGGTTCGGGCTTTTGGATAGCGGGGTGCATTCGGGGTGCGGGATATAGTTTCAGAGTTCAGGGAGTGGGAAACTGTTTGCAGTTTTTACGGCGACATGAGGGCTTGTCGGTTTCTACAACGGGTTTTGAGAAGGTTGTCGGTGTCTTCATCGTAGTCCTTCACCCTAAGGTGAGCCTAAGCCCCAAACCCTGAGACCTAAACCAGGTTCCTGAGTAGTACCCTTTTGCTCTTGTTCTGTTTGGGTTGCCTCATGACAACCAAACACTAGGAAATAAGCGTACCCTAAAAACAAAGGGGCACCTAGGCAAACCCTTCTCTAAGTGAAAGGTTGGCATTGTGTGGGAAGGTTTGAGCCCAAGCCTCTTCCGAGCCCTGTCTCGGACGCGCAGAGGTGCTCGCAGGAGCTGCCTCCAGTAGGCGGTGTATAACGGTAGTTCTCTGAATCAGGGTTCACTGTGGGGGTCCTTTTTATCAGGCTACGGTACTATATTTGGGGACTTAAAAATGAGAGGCCCGAGTTTGGAGAAGTACATGGAAGGTTGTCAAAATTATGGTAGCCCTACACTAACCCTTTAAAGGAACCCTTAAAGTTCCCCTATAGTAACCCTTTAAAGGAACCTTCAAAGTTCCCTTATAAGGTACCCTTATAGTAACCCTTTAAAGGAACCCTTAAAGTTCCCTTATAGTAGCCCTTTAAAGGAACTCTAAGGTACCCTTATAGTAACCCTTTAAAGGAACCCTGAAAGCACCCCTATCCAGCACTGCGGGTGATTTGCGGGTCTAGGTGCAACCTGCCAACCTGCTACTCCCTGAAACCGACACCTCCGCCCTAAATCCCTTCTTGGAGGTTCATGGGTAGTTATAAGTAGGGTTACAAGTAGGATAACTATAGCTACAACCCATATTAGGGGACTTATAATGCTTATAACTACCCAAGAACCTCCAAGTAAGTCCCTAAACCCTAAGTCCCTAAACCCTACATCCCTCAGTCCCTAAACCCTAAACCCTAAACCCTAAGTCCCTAGACTATACCCCAGACCCTGAACCCCAAGCCTGAAATCCCAAACCCTCAAAGCAACCCTGAACCTGACTGAAGGATCATGGGACTTAGGAAGTACCTAGACCCTGAAGAACCTACCTTTTCAGGGTTCCTTATTATGGCTTCCTTATATGAGTCCTTAGAAAGGTAGGTTATTCCGGGTTAAGGTAGGGTCATAAACAAAGTCACTAAAGTTGCAATTAAATTACTTACAACTCTAATTAACGTTCGTATAACTTATAACCTTACTTACTTACCAAGTCGCGAGATCTTCCAGATATGTACCCAAAACTCTAAACCTTAGGCCCTAAACCCTAAACCTCTGAAGTCCTTTTCTCTTCCTGACCCCTGGCCTTTCCTCGCAACTTCCGCCTCTCTGCTGAGGTCCAAAGGTTTGGGCTTAAAGCTCTCAGCCCAAAACAGTACTGAAGAAGCCTGATTATTGATAATCGTCTGGCCTCATAGCTCGTATGTAACGAAGTAAGCTATCAAAATCAACATCCGGAAAGTGGGCTTTGAAGAGCGAGTGGGATACCTTCACTTGCTCAGAAGCCGAGCAGATAGATCGGAGATGTCCAACTACTTGGAGGTTCATGGGTAGTCATAAGTAGGGTTATAAGTAGGGTAACTATCGTTATAACCCGTACTAGGGGACGTATAACTTCACTTATAACTACCCTTGAACCTCCAAGTAGGGTCTAGGCCTGTCCTCCCCGGAAGCGGGACTGACAGTCAGTTCAGGTCCCGGTAAGACTTCAAGTGCAGAGAACCCCAGAAAGTTGGAACATGGGTTTAGGAGGATTGGGGCTAGGATCCCCTATACTTTAAAGGCATGAGGATATTGATGGCTTCAATTATAGAGAGACTCCTGACAGTCAGGGCTTTAGAGTTTGTTTAGGGCTTCAGGGTTTTAGGTGTTTATCTTGTAGAACTTTTGAGGTTGTCATAACAAGAAGCCTAGCATCGGCTTGGTCTCCTTGCGTGGCCTCGTTGAAGGGTAGGAGGAAGGGGCTGGGTGCCTCTTGGAGGGTCGAAGGACTCAGTAAGTAGTTATTATATAGACTTGTAAGTACCTTAATAGGGACCCTGATTGGGGTTACGGTACTTGTAACTCTATAAAATAACTACTTACTAAGTCCCCCGACCCTCCAAGCTCCATTATTATTTTTGGGCAGCGTAGTACCTAAAGTCTAAGCCTAAGCCTTACATGGGCAGTGCTCCTGATCTCGCCGCGCCGTTGATTAGGAAGGAAACCTTTGCTTCCTGTAGCTGACCATGAGAAACAGCTGGGCGATGTAAGCCTTTGTAAAACATGCCCGGAAGTGATGGCATATCGTTGGTTTAGACTGGTGTCGTTTCAGCTGCGTTTTTCGAAGACTGTTATCGCCAGCTACTGTTACTAGAAGGTTTATCCCCTGCACACGGCACAAGAGTCAGCACACAGAGAAGGCAGTACTGAACGGGCACGATTGCCAACACTCCTCCGTCCGACTTCATCATCTTGCTTTTCAGCTTCCCACATGGCCAGCGAGTGGTCCGAGCATCAAGACACTGCAACTGGAAAGACCTTCTACTCCAACAAGCTTACCAAAGAGACTACCTGGCAGCGCCCTCATGCACTGTTGAAGGCCGATTGGTTGGAGCTCAATGATCCGGATAGTGGGAAGACTTACTACCACAACAAGTTCACCAACGAGACATGCTGGCAACGGCCAGCGATACTTGCGAAGGATGACTGGGCTGAGCACACGGATCCGAAAACGAATAAGGTTTTTTATTTCAACAAGCTCACTCAAGAGACCACCTGGGACAGGCCTGCTGTATTGGCTCGGGATGACTGGGCTGAGTACAAGGACTCAGCAACTGGGAAGATATACTATTCCAATAAGCTGACTGGTGAGACATCTTGGGACAGGCCGGTGGTGCTTGCAAGAGAAGACTGGGTCAAGCACACAGATCCGAAGACGGAGAAAACCTTCTACGTCAACCAGCGCACCCAGGAGACCACTTGGGACAAGCCATCTGTGCTTGAAAAGGATGAGTGGGTTGAGTACAAGGACCCAGCGACTGGAAAGATGTATTTCTGCAATAAGGTCACGAGAGAGACAACATGGGACAAGCCAGCCGTGCTTGCGAAGGATGATTGGTCTGAGCACAAGGATCCAGCATCTGGGAAGACGTGCCCAGATTCAGTTTGAAAGTTTCCAGTAAGTCTCGTTGGATTTTCTCTGTATGCTTGCCACCCCAAACACAGATGTTGGCGAAAAGCACAGATTTCAAGCTCACCCAAGGTATTACTGCAACAGGCTCACCAAGCAGACTTGCTGGGAGAGGCCGGCGGTACTTGCCAAGTGCGACTGGGTCGAGTACAGCGACGCAGCCACGGGCAAGACTTGGTACTACAACAAGCATACTGAAGAGACTTCATGGGAGACTGGGTTCTTGTTGAAACACCAGTTGGAGGTTGCCATAGTGCCAGCAGTGTGCATATCAATATGCACATAAACCATAATACGCTTTTCTGCTTCTACATTGTAATTTGGCTTATGTCCTTACCAAGAGCCCAGGAGAAGCCAGCGGTGCTTCGAAACAGCGGTGCATCCGAGCACACTCCGGCGCCGCAGTTTCCGGAGAAGCCGGCAGTACCCAAGGCTGTCTGGGTCGTAGTGGGGAATAGGGTTCCTCTAAGGGTTCGCTTAAGGGTTTCTTTTAAGGGTTACTAGAGGGGTTGTACTAATAGGAGTTTAGGGTTCTTAGTAGGCTGTCTGGTTCTCAAGGGAATGGGGGAATGGGTTATGGGAGTTCTGAGGGACCACTTTAGGGATCCATTCCCCCATTCCCTGATCAGAACCAGACAGGAGAAGCCGGCTGTGCCCAAGGAGTCCGAGAAGACACAGCCGTCATCGCAACCAGAAGTTCAAGCTGCCCCACAGGCCGGATGACAAAAGGCGAATACGAGGGCGTTTAGGGTTTAGGGTTTAGGGTGGCATATGCGATATTCCCCTTATATTATATGGTTTTGCTATCTTAATTCACCCCCAAATGATGCTATTTCATTCAGTAAGACAATATATTAAGAAAATTAGAGCCGTGATTGCATGCCGTTTCGGCCATGATAGGCTGCCGTCGTTGGGGACGTTGTTAAAGGACTACGGTTGCCACTGCTGATGGACAAAATCCTGCATGACCCTAAGGACTCTAAACTATGGGAACTATGGTCTATTCCTTATAATGGGTAGTGCACGATTTTGTCCATCAGCAGTATTGCTTGTGCCGCAGAAATAAGCATAGGGTTCAAGGTTTAGGGGTGTTGGGTTCAGGCTGATTCATGAAGTGCCACCGCCTGTTCCCTCACATCCTCTATGCTCGAATAAACCTCAACTCTCATGCTGCACACAACGCAATCCCACAAGCCTTAAATCCTCAATGCCCCAAATCCTCAACCCCTAACTCTTCATCCTAAATCCTAAATCCGGGACCCTAAACCCTCAATCTCAAGCCCTCAACCCGGTTGCCTAAACTCTCAGCCCTGAATCCTTATCGAACCTAATATCGCCTGTTATAGAGCCCTTAAAGGAACCCTTGAAGGAACCCTTCACGATTGAAGTAACAGGCTTCTTCCTCCAGAGCCCAGTTTTAGTTTTTCAAACAACCGAGGCAGTTCCAGTAAAATCCAAGGACCTGGGGGGTCAGGGTTTATGGTTTAGGACGGTTTAGGGTTTCGGGTGCAGGACGGTTTCGGGTTAAGTACGGTTTAGGGTTTGGGGTTTGGGGTTTAGGACGGTTTCGGGTTTAGGGTTCAGGGTGTAGGTTCATTCGTTTGGGCTGGGCTGTTGAAGTTTTGGTTCGGGTTTTGGGACTTCAGGGATAGGGTTTTTGAAGTTTCAGGTCTAGGATTCAGGTCGGTTTTTCGAGCTTCGGGTTCGGGAGTACTGTGGCTTCGTACGCCATGTCAACACTTTGACGTCGTCCCTGTGGCGCAGAATGACAAGTTGCTACACTACTTTTCGCGCACTCCAGAACTCCAATCCCAAAGCCTCAAAACCCAACCCTAAACCCTAAACCCTAAGCCCTGCACTTCTTCAAGGGTCCCAAACCCCGAATTGGATCCTGAAAGCTTAAACAGAGCCTACAAGAGCTTCAACAGCCCCAAGCAGTAAACATGCCCCTCTTGCGATTTAGTTAGAACCCTTGTAGAACCCTCATAAACCCCAAAATCCAAAGCCCCACACCCTTTACAACCTAAAGCCCTAAACCCTAAACCCTAAACCCCTAAACCCTTTACAACCTAAAGCCCTAAACCCTAAACCTCTCATCCTGGACCCAAGTCCCTCAACCCTACACCCAGAACCCCAGACCCCTCTACCCTAAACCCTAAGGGGCCCTAATCCCTAAGCCCTAAACTCTGATAGAACCCTGAAAGAACCTTATACAACCCTTAAAGGAACTCTTAAAGGAGCCCTTAAAGGACCCCTTAAGGGACCCCTAAAAGGCAGCCGGTTCCTAAACCCTAAACCCTAAGCCCTAAACCCTAAACCCCAAACCCTAAACCCTAAACCCTAAACCCTAAACCCTAAACCCCAAACCCTAAACCCTAAACCCTAAACCCTTAAAGGGACCCTTAGAGCCCTAAGAGCCCAGAGGAGATGCTCGGGCTTCCAACTGAAACGCCCGAGCATTGGTCGGAGGCCAACGAGATGTCCTCTCAAGGCTCCAGGGGGAAACTCTTAGTTCTTTTACGGGTTCCTGTAAGGGTTCCTTTAAGGGTTCCTTTAAGGATTTAGGGTTTAGGGCTCCAGGATTTAGGGCATTAGGGCTTCCTTCAAGGGTTCCTTTAAGGATTTGGGGCTTTAGACTTTCCTTTAAGGGTTCCTTTCAAGAGTTTAGCGCTTAAGGCTTCCTTTAAGGGTTCCTTTCAGGATTTATGTAGGGCTTTAGGGCTCTCTCAAGGCTCCAGGGGGAACTCTTAGTTCTGTTAAGGGTTAGTTCTTCCAAGGGTTCCTCAGGGGGGAGGCTTTCGGGCCTAAGGGTTAGTTCTTTTCAGGGTTAGTTCTGTTGAGGGTTCCTTTAAGGGTTCCTGTAAGGGCTCCTCTAAGGGTTCCTTTATGGGTTCCTGTAAGGGTTCCCTTACAGGGTTCTATAAGGATTTAGGGTTTAGAGCCCGAAAGACATAAAGCTGTTTCGGGTTTGGGCTTTAGGGCTTATGGGCTTTAGATTCACGGGCCTGCATTAAGAAGCAAGCTTCCTGAGTAGTACCTTGTTGCCCTTCTTATTTCGGGTGTCTCAATGTTCAAACTGAATATGAGGAAACAGGGTACCGTTATCATGGTATAATTAAGGGGTTACTGACGAACCTAGGAAATGGTCTTGAGATTTTATGTGACTTGTGTGTTTTCTTGGTAAAGGGCACAAGCGGGCCAGGACCTCTGCCTTAGATGCATCTTCCGCCCCAGCTGGGCTGTCGAATTGGGCATTATGTGTTTAGGGCTTAGGATACCACGTTCACTTGGAAATCCTGGGTGGTCACATAGGGTTGTAAGTCGGAAAAATTTAGTTATAACCTAAGTTAGGGGACTTATAACAACTACCCATGAACCTCCAAGTACCGCCAAGCATTCCCTTAGAATTTCAGGTGCATTCCTGAATTCAAGGGTTTTGGAGTCTCTGCGGAGGCTGGTCGGTGATCCCCGTGGACAATGAGACCTTGCAGTGCATCAAGGGCCTTTTTGTCGTCACAAAACCTGGGGAGCTGGGCAGAGGCATCTCAGTCTTTCTCTAAAATTAGGGCGCCCTTTTGGTTCGCATATGGCAACCTTATAAAAGAGAACTACCCATCTAGCTTCTTCTTAGGAGCCTTCCTTTAAAGGTAGCGTTTATGGATGATCTAGAGTTGCCATCCCTAAACCCTAAACCGTGGGATTGTGGTTTCAGGGTTTAGGGATCTGCTATATATACCTCCTTGGTGGCTTGAAGCACAGTTTCAGCCGAAAGAGCCCGCTTACAGGCTTCAGGGTTTTGGGATCCTGTATGCTCCTACTATAGTAGCAGCCTCAGTGGTTCCTACATCCTCAGCCTGAAACCTTTAAACCCTAAACCCCGAACCCTAAACCCAACCTGGACACCAACGAACCTACGTTTTCAGGTTTCCCTAATCTGATTTCTTTATATAAGTCTTAAAAGGGTAGGCTATTTGGGGTTGTGGTAGACCTTAAGAAGAGCCCAGGTAGGGATGCGCACGAGTATTCGCGAGCCTACAAGAACCTCGAGGCGGGCAAGCACAAACCCAAGGTCTGTACTAGGTACCGATCTGGGATGATTTTCAATTACCCTACACCCTTAAACCCCCAAACCCTAAGCCCTTAAAGCCTAAACCCCTAGTCGCTAAACCTCTAAACCCCTAAACCCCTAAACCCTGAACCCTAAATCGAGCATAAATATGTTGGGGACTGTTGACCTCGACAGCTGGTGTACCATCTGCGGCTCCTTTTGGGTTTAGTATAGGGTTGACGGTTTAGGGTTTAGGGTGGAGGGTTAGGGTTTAAGGGTTATTGTTTAGGGTTTCGGGTGTGCGGGTTAAGGCTCAGCGTATAGGTTTAGGGCATAGGACTGTTGTGGGAGCACGGTTTCGCTCAATACTCAGCAAGGGCCGCTGAACCATATCCCCAATCACATCAGTGGACTGAATGTTGTAAGCACAGTTTTGGTACCACAGGAATCTAGCCCCGTAAGCTACTCTGCCTCTGCATGCAAATACAATATCCTTGTCGCAGGAAGGTATTTGGGAAGAAAGCTTGGCTTCGTTTAGATACAAAAACGTCCCAAACCGGCTTCATCGAAAGGTGGTGTGTGCCTGGCGCCTGGAACATCCGACGCACTGGCTGAAGTACGCAGCAGAACGGACTCTTGGCGGGCTTCGCATGGCGAGTTGGGTAGCTTCCTGCTTCTAGGCCGTTGCCTTTGGATGCTTGGCTCAGGCTTCGTTCTAAAACCTTTGGATCGCTCCAGGACCCGGGTTCTGGTGAGTCCCTACATACATGACCCTCGGGAACACATGTTTCATGCGAGACGTGCGGTGAGTCTCTGGGGTGACGTTCAACCTTGCATGCCAGAACTCTGCCTCCCTCAGCCGTTTCTGGCCTTGGATGCCCTAAACACCTCACCCTTAACTCTAAACCGTAGGACTATCTGGGCTAAGTGCGCGGGAGTTAGTGGTAGAGTCGACGCTGTCATAGGATCGGCTCCGTACTTAAAGGATCAGGGGAAGTACTGAGTAGGGTTATAAGTAAGGTAACTATACCTATATGTACTTAACACCAATCAGGGTAATTGGTTGCAACCTTACTTACTAAGTCCCCTGATCCTTCAATTACCCAGAGATCCCAGTTTCCCTTGGGTAAGCGTTTTCGTTTATTGACTGCTTATCCATAGAATACTTGGAGGGTCAAGGGACTTAGTAAGTAGTTACTTTATAGAGTTATAAGTACCATAACCCTAATTAGGGTCGCTTTTAGGGTACTTATAAGTCTACTTACTAGCTACTTACCAAGCCCCCCGGCCCTCCAAGTTCCGTCACACCGTTCCCCTTCAGCCGCACAATCTTCAACAATGAATCGCCCGAGGAATGCGGTGAACTCAAACATGGCGCAGCTGCGACGACAGAAGATCGAGCTGACTAGCTGGAAGTGCCTCAACTGGGCTTTGGAGTACCATACTTTAATACTTTTTTCTTAATGGAACCATTGTGAAACAAAAGTTTATACTTTTTTCTCCCTGGTTACTTAACAGAGCAGTCAAGCTGCAACCGCAAGCTGGGAAAGTTCACAGTACCCAGAAACTCCAATTAGGGATCCTACTATGATTTAAGGTATATTCTTTAATTAAGGGATATTGGAGTCTCTGGGTGCCCGCATAGAAACGTCAAAACCTCGAAATTCAATCCCTGGCAAAGCGTCTCACCACGACTTGTGGACAAGTTCAGACAGCCTCCCGTGTCAAACCTCTTTGCAATCGAAACGGGATCCTGGGCCGTATGCCTGGCCCTGACTTGTGGACGAGCTCAGACAGTCTCACCCTTCAGACATCTTTGAAACCCAGAGCTCTTTAAATGGGATCATCGTGGACAATCTCAGATACTCTATCAAAAGTCCGAGTCAGGATCCTCTTAGATCGGATCTTTGCAGAAACGCCTCATGTCTAACGTGTCTAACGAGTGGGTTTAGTGTTTAGGGTTTAGGGCGTCTCGGCCACCTTGCTGACGTAGCCAAGGAGCAAGCTGGAAGATGCCTCTGGCAGCATGCCTGGCAGCCTGCTGCTGGACCTTGGACCTGGTGACAAGCCGTACATCCCAAACTCCAAGCCCCAAATCCCAAATGCCACCCTGAAAGGCCAAACCCAAGTGCTAGCGCCCTCAATCCTGCCCCACTTGAGGTATGCAACCAGGCGTAGGCGTAGGGTTAGCTCAGCAGGATTATGCTCCCCATGAAAACTTTGAGGTATTTGTAATCTCCTCTACCCGCGAGATTGCCTGAGCCTTAACTTATGCCTGCCACGTAATGCTAAACCCTATTAAACCCTAAACCTGAAGCCGAAACTCTGAGCCCCTGAACCCCACGTAGCAGGCGAGGTTCGTGGCAGGTGCGGGCAAAAACAAAGAGCACACCAAAAGCGTCAAAGTTAGGGTCCCTTTTTGGGTACCCTAAAGTATTAAGTGCCGTATTATAATAGGGACCCCAAAAAGGGACCCTAATTTTGACAACCACCCATATGCCCTGCCTAAAACCGAAACCCTAAACCTTGGAGCTGCCGGTGCCCTGAGGTTTACCCAGAGGCTCATACCCTACCCCCTTTTATAGGGCGCCTACTTTTTAAGATAAGAGATCATAACCATAAAACTAGGTGAAGCTTATTTGGGAGTTTCCGAAAATGATGGGTACCTTTTGTGGGGGTCCTTTTAACAAGGATCCTACTATTGAGGGTACTATATTAGGGTCCCCTATTTTCGGAAACTCCCATTTTTCCAATCATCCCGAACCCAGGGCCTTGAATCCTTCCTTTAGGGTTTAGGGCTTAGGGTTTAGGGACGCATTTAGCTCTCTCCGAGGTTTTCACAAGTCGGCGAGCGCTACCTGCTACATGGGACGAGCCCGCAGAGTGTGCTCGACATTCTCCACCAAGGCCTAGGGTTTAGTGTACCTTAACCCGGAATAACCTACGTTCTTAGGGTTCCTTGTCATGAGTTCCTTATATAAGTCCTTGAAAACTCAAATGTAGGTTATTCCGGGTTAAGGTAGCCTTTGAGCTATTTTGGATTGACTTTGTTGTCGTTTTGCGGCAGAGGGTTTGGGTCCGAAGTCGGGCCGGGCCCTAGACTCAATGCCCTTAGGCGGTGGACTGCCCGAAAATCAGAGGCACAAGGCAACAGCAACAGCAACTTCTACCCATGACAAAATCTGCAACAGACATACCCTAAGCCGTAAACCCCATCAAACCCCTCTGCAGGATTCAGCGACAAGCTCGCCAGCCTTAGTGGCATTTTCGGCGCCGGAAGCTATTTCGCCGAAGATCCGGAGAAAATAGACCAGTGCCTTCACCAATAATAGGAGTCATGCTCCTCTACTTTCGCTTCTTTCTCTCTGTCTCTCTCTCTCTCTCTCTCCCTCTATCTCTAGCGCTTTGGTTTCCTGTGTCTTGCTCTTTCTCTCCAACCCACAGTCATGTCGCTCATGCATGCGCTTGCGTGATTGCACGAACAGCACAAGAAGCATTTCTCTCCGCACACACATACACAGATGCAGATAGATTGATGTGTACGCCTCTCGACATGCATAGATTGAATTCCCCAGCTATCTGGTGCGACAGTGACAGACGGACATAATAATGGATAGCGTGGTGTGTACTTGTTATTAGGCTGACAGTTCCTTGGGACTGATACACAATCCTGGCTTTCACGGGTTTTGCGAGTGATTCAGAAGTGTCCTGCGCTCACCCTTGTTTGCTTCACAATATGAATCGGCAACAGGGGAATCGAATGAGGGCAAGCCTTGAAACAACGGTGAGGGGAGAACCATGTTCGTGGACAGCAGTAGGGCGAAGCTGAAAGGTACACACAGCCGGATGGGGGCTACAAGACCACTGGTTTGGAGGAGCTGCATGAGCAGCTCTTCGCCGATGAGGGGAATGTGCATCCAGGACACTGGGAGGGACATGATGACGGATATGATGGTGATGCAAGGATGCTGATGTTGGTGATGACGATGTTGATGACGATGATGAGAAAGACATGATGCCGAGGACACTGATGCCAGGCCTGCTTGCTCTCGTGACGACATTGGTTGTGATGATACCTTGGACCATTGGATGCGATGGTGACGACACTGTTATGCTGAGCGCGGCGATTGTGAAGACTTCAATTAACCCAGGAATGCATACATCATGAAGCCCACACAACCCCATCTTTCTGTTCTAATTCTAAAGTTATGAACTGCAGCAGGAGTCCACTGTGTTGCTAAGGAGCTTAGTAGAAAAGGGGACACACTCTGGAGCATGTCCTGGAAGCCCAAAACCCTTAATCCTATTCCCCACCGCCGAGAAGAACGCTTCACCGTAAAGCTTCAACCCGTAAACCCGAAAGCCTTAAACGCTAAACCCTAAATCAACTTGAGGAGAGGACATCTTCTACTGCTTCGTGGTACGAGCGACGTGTGGGGCGGCCCTGGTCACTGAAGGTTTCGTCGCTTTCCAATCCGGGGCCACCGAGGTTAGTGGTTCCAAGGTTTCAGGTTTCCGGTTTGTGGGTTTAGTTTTTTTTTTCATAGTTGTTTTTTGGGTTCAGTGTTTAAAGTTTTCGGTAGTAGGTGCCCAAGTACTAGCAGCTGCCTATGCAAAGCTAGTCAGCTCGGATAAACAAACAAGCAGCAACATGTTTGTCGCAGGGATGGCGGCAGTGGTAGCTCTAGTCGCAGGCCAACATCCTAAGCCAGACCCGAGCCATTGTCTCTGCTGATAAGTTGTCCAGGACACTGTGGCCGCTAGGATTTTCTTGTACAAGTGCTTTCTTAGTCGACATCTAAGGAGTCTAATTATCCGTAGCTGCAGTCAAGGGGCAAGGGGCAGTCGATTCGGCAGGATAAATCCCAATCCTGCTCCAATTCACGCCTCAGGTTTGGATCACGACAGGTTGAAGGACGTCAACACCAACAAGCAGGTTTTCCTGCGGTCTGATCGTCGGCAGCTCTGCCACATCCCTGGTGCGACCCCATCCATTTCTTACCACACCCTAGTCGTGGACGTTGCGAAACGGAAGGTCCCGACGTCTGTCCTCCGCTTTCGGGAAATTGTCCTCTTTGAGGACACCCGCGTTTATCCGGAGTATCTGATTGCTTACCGCAGGGTATGAGTGGAACTCAGAGTGCCTGAGTCGGCTTGTTGCAGTTGTGACAGGAGCTTAGGGTTTGGAGTTTAGAGTAGCCCACCCCCGAAAACTCTGATGCGCAGCGTTAGGGACTTCACTTCAGGCTTGCTTCTGCATTCAGTTCGTGTGCGATGCGAGAACCTGGGTTTCCAAAACCCTACCAGTAGTCGAAAAGACATACCTTTTTACGGAACTATATAGATAGATAGATATAAAGAAACCATGATAAGGAACCCTACACAGGTAGGCCCTTGCGGCTACAAGCATCAACTAAAGACTCGTTTTTTGATCTGTGTTTCTGCGCTGTTGCAACTGCAGCTGCGTCCCTCTCTGCACGGTGTACAGCTGCGTTTCTCCGCTTTTCGATGCCCTTTTGGTTTTAGGGTTTAGGGGTTTAGGGGTGTAGGGTTTGATGCCCTTTTGGCCTTGGTTTTCGATGCTTTTTAGGGTTTAGGGTTTAGGATTCGATGCCCTTTCGGCCCTGGTCCCGTCAAACTTGATGGGCGCGGCCTTGTCATGTCTCACCAGAACAGCCAGCTCCTGGAAGCTCCGATCATTTTCTTCTTGGGTTCTGCTTCGCCTGGATATCGCTGAACTGTGTTGGTGTGATGATGCTGGTGTGCTGGTGATGGCGGCGATGACGACAACGCGAAAGAGGGTCCATATAGATGGGAGCAACACAGATACAGTAGTGCTGTAAGACGAAGTGAGCACACACAAACACCTAAACCCTAAACCCATGCACCACTCCCATACGAGCCACAAAGCCCAGACCCTCGAGTTCTCTCGATGAGGGCTTTCAGGACCATGCTTGCCAACAAGGAACTGCTCTCATGTGCGAATGTGCAGGCTGATCCATACTGTTGATGATCTAAGTCCTGCATTACCTTAATGACCCTAGACTGTAGGAATTATGGTATGTTCCTCATTGCGGGGAATGCAGGGTGTATATCATCAACCGTACGAATTCCTGAAAGCATGCATCTCGAACAGAGCAAGCATTGGGTTTTGGGTTTAGGGTTTAGGGCGTCGGGATGCTTGATTATTCACCCAACATATGTTGGGATCCCTGTTCGGTGTTGTTATTGCGATCTGTGTCGGGGTGTAGGTGTAGTATCTAAGCAAATGGTTTCGGCTCCTGTACACCGACCGGTTTTCATCCAAGAATGCCCTAAACGGCGTAGAGAGCCTCCGCACATGGATTTCCTCAAGCAGCCCCCATATAGCCCTTCCAACAGAATCCTCTACATTTTGAACCCCAAACCGTGAAACTTGCGATGGAAGCCCACAAATTACCAATGTTTTCTTGAGGGGTCCTTATTACAAAAGCTCGGCATTCTTCTGGTTGGCTCTTAGGACTTTAGCTTTTTGGGTTTCTTATGAACTATAATGAGGAGGCTAACAGTTAAACTTTTAGGAGGGGGTTCAGAAGTCAGCCAAGAAAATACTATAAAGGGCCTCAAAACCCATTTTTCATGATGAAGGCCCATTAAAGTACCCTTATAGAACCCCTTATAGTAACCGTTATAGGAGCCCTTTAAAAGGAGCCCCATTCTGATTATGCAGGCGCCTAAGTTCACAAACATCCGCAGTTGGCGGCTCCTGGGGCAGCTGGCAGCTTGGGGCGGCGAGGGCTCTGAGCAGTGTGTGGGCCCCAGCCGAGAAGGACCTTTTTTTGGGGGGGGCTAGGGTTTATAGGGTTTAGGGTTTCACCCAGAGAGCCCAATACCCCTTAATTAAGGAATATGGCTTAAATCATAATATGAAGCCCTATAAGGGGTGGGCTCTCTGGGCAAATCCTAAGCTCCAACCTCTGAACCCTGCACCCGCTACGTCGTGGCCTCTGGGGTCCCCGACTGGCAGGTTGACAGGTTCTTGTTAGTGAGCTTGTCTTAAGATACCATGATACTGCCGATGGACAAAATCCTGCATGACCCTAAGGACTCTAAACGATGGGAACTATGGTATGTTCCTTTTAATGGGTAGCGCAGGATTTTGTCCATCAGCAGTAAGGATACCGTTTACAGAGAACCCCAGAAAGTTGGAACATGGGTTTAGGAGGATTGGTGCCAGGATCCCCTATATTCTGCTTGAAAGGAATGAGGATGTTGATGTTCCAACTTTCTGGCTTCTACTATATTTACTATGGATCCAGATGATATGGTAAGTTAAAGTAAACTCCTTGGCTAGCGCCCAGGTTTGGACAAACTCCTGGATCTTGGCTTGAAGAACTCCTCAGAGGAGGACTCCTGGCAAAATCCATATTGGGTTTCAAGATTTGAACTTGTTTTGGGTTCGGGGTTGGGAAATATAGGGGCCGAAACAACTATGCCAGTACTATTTTGGGGCTCCTTATTACATTTAATAATATAATGGCTCCGAAACCCTATTCAATAGGCTTATTCGAAGTACTAAGTGTAGGGTTTAGAGTCTAGGTTCAGGGCTTCAGAGTTTTGAGTTTAGGGCCTTCAGGTTTCATGGTTCAGGTGTGGCGTTTTTGGTCTGGGCAACGTAGAATGCAGGAAGCTCGGCTGAGGGCCTTTGGGCTACTTAATTTGAGGTCAGTCGGGGTGCTAGCTGAGAACCGCTCCATCCGCTCATCCACTTCAATGGTCGAACCAAGTCCCCAGAACCCTAGTGCGCCAAGCCTGAAAACTCATGCTTGAGCCGTAACCCCAAACCTTCAAGCTCTAATCGCCTGAACCCTGAAAGCGACACGCTCAAACACCAAGGCCCTAAACCCTAAACCTTAAACATTAAACCCAACCACCACTTATAACTACCCATGAACCTCCCCTTATAGAGCCCTTTTAGAACCCTCAAGGACCCCTTATAGATCCCTAAACCCTAATCCCCAAACCCTAAACCCTAAACCCCAAAACCCTAAACCCTAATCCCTAAACCCTAATCCCTAAACCCTAAACACTAAACCCCTAAACCCTAAACCCCTAAAGCCCTAAATCCTAAAGCCCTAAATCCTAAACCCCTAAAGCCCTAAAGCCCTGAACCCCAAACCCGAGACCCTCGAGAAGGCGATGGCAGCCATGGGCTTAGCGATCTGCGCTGCAGCGAGTGATCCGCTGGCGCCCTCAGGCGTTGAGGGTTTGCAGGAGTTTGTGGGTAGGGTTTAGGGTTTTCGGGTTTTAGGTTTTAGGGTCCTGGGTTTTAGGGTTTAGGGTGTTACTAGGGTTTACAGGAGTTCATGGGTTAGGGTTTAGGGTTTTGGGGCTTTAGGGTTAAGGTTTTAGGGTATGAGTGTGTATACATGCCCTATCAACCCAGCTACCTGCGGCAATCCTGTTTGTATGCGCATCTTTGCGCAATGCCTCACTCCTTTTGGAGCTCTCTGCCTTGAACCCAAAGATGGAAATCAACACGAAGAGTGGAAGAGACTGGACGCCTCACCAATTGGAATAGGTTTTTGGGGTATATTATGCTTTAACTATAATAAGGCCTTAAGGAGGAGCCCACAATTAGTATTGATTTCAAAACTCCTGCATTACCCACAATAAGGAATTTTCCATAATTCCCATAGTCTAGTGCCATCAAGGTACTGCAGTATTTCTATCATCACCCGTAGCAATGGTAGTTGCAGGGCCCACGGCGGCAGCTCGAGCCGCAGATTTGCTGCAGCGGCTGCTCGTGCTGGCCGAGTGGGGAGGGTTCTCGGACGATTCTAAACACCCTAAACCCTCAACCCGAATCCCTAAAGCCAACGAAACCTACACCCTAAATCCCTAAAGCCAAGAAACATAGAACCAAAACTAAAGCCAAAATCCTAAACACCCTAAATCCCTAAACCAAAAACCCTAAACCCTAAATCCCTAAGCCTAAACCAAAACCTTTACCCCCTAAGCCCCAAACCAAAAACCCTAAACCCGAAATCCGTAAACCGTACAAGCCCTACAGTGACCGTTGGGCTGTACAGACTAGGTCTGGCTGGTTAGCTCCCGCTGCCCTAAAGCCCTAAAGAATGAGGCTAAGATGAGGGACCCACAAAGCACATAAGCATAAGCATTTTATAGGGATATCCCTACCGTATTGTGCTTCATTATAACGGGGTTTATATGGGATATCCCTATCCTCGTTTTTGCTTATGTGCTTTTTGGGGGCCCTATAAGAGGATTCAGGCTCTAGGGGCCTTGGTCTTTTCGGCTCGTTGTTCTCTGGTTGCTCTTAGTTGAAGTTGTGCTAACTTATTTGGGTGGCTGTCAGAATTAGGGTCCTTTTTTGGGTCCTGAATTAATACGGCACCAAATATTTAGGTGCCCAAACAGGGGCCATAATTTTAACAACTACTCATTTGTTGAACTTAAAAACCCGCTCGAGTTAAAACATGCAAAAATTTTATGTGGGTTCTTAAGGGTGCTGGAGGCTTTAGCGCCTTTAGGTTGTTGAGCTTCCAGAATCTTTTGGCTTGAGGGAGACGGTTTAGGGTTTAGGGAGGTTCGGGGTCGGTTTGGGGCTTGGGGGAAGTCTTTTTAGTTGGCAGAAGGATGAGGGTTTTAGGGTACCCTAGCTACACCTACACCTACACTGACCTATGAAGCAGAAGAAGAAGAAGCAGTCGAGCGCAACCAAGCACCGAAACGTTGAAGGCACTTTTCCAAGCACCATTTGAGTTTTTTAGCGGCCAGCTCCATCGTTCGAAAGGCGTGACTCTGCGTGCTGCGCCTCTACACCCTCAACAGTCGCCAAGCGTCAACTCTAATCCCTGGACTCTATTGTCTAGTGGAGAAGTTGAAGCTCCAAGAACCACCACAGCCCAAGTAAGAAGCCTTTCTTCGGCTTCGATGCTTGACAGAAGTCCCTGTGTAATTTGGGCCTATCATCGTTCGCAGAGGGGTATGGGGCTGCTCAAATGAAGTTCCGCTTTGAGAATTTGGTTTGGGCCCAGAGAGCCCAATACCCCTTAGTTAAGGAATATAGCTTAAATCATAATATGAAGCCTTATATAATCAAAGCCACATTCCTTAATTAAGGGGTATTGAGTTCTCTGGGGAGTCTTGGGGTTGCGGGTTCCGAGGGTCACCCCCCAACGCCTGCCCACCCCTCAGCCCCGTTAGCGATAAACCCTAACCTCCAAACCGGGGCTAAACCCTAAACCTTTAAAGGATCCGGTTTAGGGTTTACGGTTTAGGGTTTAGGGTTTAGGGTTTAGGGTTTAGGGCCTGACAGCAATCCGAATGAAAACTAGCAACGGATCGTTAAATTGATCAGGCCGGTGAGGATGAAAAGGCTGCTGCCGAGGAGCAGCAGCCCAGCGGCGTGGAGGTGCGTCGGGCATTTCGGGGTCTTCGAAGGGTTCAGGGCTTTGGTTTAGAGGTTTAGGGTTTGTAGGGTTTGGGGTTCAGGGTTTTAGTTCAGGTTGAGGGTTTTAGTTAGGGTTTAGCATTTGAGGCTTCGCATTTCGGAGTTGCAGCCGTAAACCCTGGCGGTCTCTGGGCCTTTTGTTTAGGGTTTGAGAGTTTTTGCTTTGGATTTTGGATTCGAAAATTAAATCTGGACTGTCATGGAATCCGACCACTATAAGTTTGCAGATTAAAAAACCCAAAACACTAAAGCCACAAACCCCAAACCCCAGTTCCCGCCTCCCCAGCACCGCTTCTGGAAACCCTACACTAAACCCCATAAAGTTGGAAACCGGATAAAGGCCAAATAGCGCTGGGATTCCCTATACATTATTCTTAAGGACTTAGGCTATTGGGTTTCCAACATTTGGGCTTCTACTATGAACCCTAAACCCTAAACCGCTGGGAGGATGGTGCTGAATCCTTGGCCAAGAAGCGCGAGCTGGCAGCCGGTGGCCCCCAGTGTGGAGCATCTTTCTGAGGGCTCCAAAGGTGGGGTTTAGGGTTTAGGGTTTGAGGTTTAGGGTTTAGGGTTGAGGGTTTAGGGTTTGGGGTTTAGGGGTTTAGGGTTTAGATTGTTGAGGTTTATGGTCCGGGTTCAGGGTTTCGCTTCTTTTGTTGCTGATGCTCGCGTCGCTGTTGCTACTGTTACTGGTAGTACTGACTACTGCTGCCACAAGTTTCACCAAGTCCTTCGCAAGAAAGTCAATCCCCTGTCCATCTCGGTCAACACAGAGCCCTAAACCCCAAACCCTAAATCCTAAACCCTAAACCCCTAAACCCTAAACCCCTAAAGCCCTAAACCCCAAACCCTAAACCCTAAACCCCTAAACCCTAAACCCCTAAATCCTAAACCCCAAACCCTAAATCCTAAACCCCAAACCCTAAATCCTAAACCCCAAACCCTAAATCCTAAACCCCAAACCCTAAATCCTAAACCCCAAACCCTAAATCCTAAACCCCAAACCCTAAATCCTAAACCCCAAACCCTAAATCCTAAACCCTGAACCCCAAGACCCCGAAGCCCAAAAGTCCTAAACCCAGGCGAAGAAGGACACGCAGCAGCGGTGCGCCGTCGTCTGGCAGGGATGCCTGGAGTTCTCTCCCTGCAGATCTTGTCGTTATGTGATACAGAAGTCAGAACCATCAGTCCCCGTAGTTCTTATTGGTACGAAAATTAGCCAGGCTCCTGACAGTCAGGGCTTTAGTGTTTAGGGCTTCAGGGTTTTAGGCTTAGTAGCTGAGTAGGTAACCTTTAACCTTTTGGGGTTGTATGATCCTACCATACTTCAAAAGGTTAACCTTTTGCGGGCTATGGTACTCAGCCCCAAAGGAATAAGAAGTACCCACAGTAGTTTGTAGTCCTAAATGTCAAAATAGTAAAGTCGGTACTGGGTATTCCTTTGTTCATGACTATGATGCAGAAGGTAATTTGTTACTGCTGCAACGACTGAGTGGCAAAGACCTCTCCATGAGTGGCATGATTTTTCAAAACATGCTCCTGCTGTTATATTATTGGTACTGCTGATGGACAAAATCCGGCATTACCCATAATAAGGAATATACCATAGTTCCCATAGTTTAGAGTCCTTAGGGTCATGCAGGATTTTGTCCATCAGCAGTATTTCGCAGACGACCATAATCGCTTCTACCCTTTTTGTATGAACTCTCGTCGCTTGCAATCGTAGCATTGCCGTGGTTATTCTATGTTCCATGGTACATGCTTTGTTGCATCACCCTACGCTAGACCCCAAACATTCCTAGCATTGTGAAGCTGTTATCATTACAGTAACCTCACTGCCGGGCTCGCCAATGCTCAAGTCCATCTGCCTAACGCACTTGAAAATGAGGAGCCCTTGTGTAGAACCCTACATAGTAGGATCCTTCTTATTCGAGCCCCAAACCAGCTACCCCTAAGCTTGAGGTAGCTCAACTAGAATGCCCAGTAGTACTCTTATTCCGTTTTTGTAGTCCTAGGTTCCTTATAAAGGTACCCAAAACCCAAAAGGGAGCCCTTTTTACTTCTAGGTTACTGGGCATCCTAGTCAAGCTTGACCCGATGTCTGGGCTTCATGTTTCGGGCGTTTTGGTTAGGCACAGACTTTCAAGTTCTTTTTCCGCGATCTCCTCTTTGAAGGATTCAAGCTGCTACTGTTGACTATATAAATCTTGCATCACATTAAGGACCCCAGACTATGGGAATTGTGGTATTCCTTATGATGGGAAATGCAGGGTTTATATCATCAACCGTAGCTCAGATTTGGTGCTTTGGGAAGTTGGGGTTGAAAGGTTTGAGTTCTTGCTGTAGAAACCGCGTCGACATGCCAAACTCCTGCCGCTGAATAGCCTAGTGGCACGGGTTCGTAGCTTTCCGAATGTGGTATCCCATATGTGCGTGCTGCTTCTTCAGCTTCAGCACACCCTGAGAAACAGACTCCTTTCGGAATCCTCACCCGAAGCCCTGAACTCTGAACCGTAGAACCTTCCTCTTGTTGCAGCGTCCGTGATGCTGTGAGGCTGTCGGTTCTGATCCGGCGGTCCGGATCTCAGTTGCCCTCCAAACCACTCGAACACGACGATTACTATCAGCACCAACTTCCCACTGCTGATGGTGATGCTTATGTCGATGATGGCGATGACGAGTAACAAGCTGATGCTGCCCTCCATACAGTCACATGCCTACGAGGCACCACCATCAAGTAGTGTGTATGTTGGGGAGGCATGCGGGGTTTAATTGACCTCTTCGAATCTAATACTTTAACGAGGGTTTCGGTGAGTGTGCAAAGCGGCTCTTGAGGAAAAGTGATGAGTGTATGTGTTGACGCATTCCTAGGAACTGCTGCATTCGTTTGAGGTGTCGAATTTTTGTGGCCGTCGTCCACCTTGCGTCAAGTAAGCACTATACAATATTGAAATTATTCTTAAGGGCTCCACTATAAGTAGACTATGTAAGAGAGCCTCAAGCCCTGTTCTAATCATCAAGGCCCCTACATTAAGCCCTACCTGTCGCCGAAAAGACCTACCGTTTTAAGGTGCTATAGAAAGAAACCATAGTGAGGAACCCCTAGAACGGTAGGTCTTTTCGGCTGCAGGTAAGGCAGTGGCCAGCGCACGGACTTTCAAAATAGCAAAAGAACCCTAAACCCTCAACCCTAAACCCCTAAAGCCCTAAAGCCCTAAACCCCAAAAGCCCTAAACCCTAAACCCGCTAAACCCCAAAAGCCCTAAAGCCCTAAACCCCTAAACCCTAAACCGAAGGAGGGGGGGTTCGAAGTTGAGAGATCCTTGGGCTTTCCATCCGGCCCCGGTGAGCTGAACTTTAGAGTTTAGGGTTTAGGGCTTTAGGGTTTAGGGGTTCAGGGGTTTAGGGCTTTAGGGCTTTAGGGCTTTAGGGGTTTAGGGCTTTAGGGTTTAGGGGTTCAGGGGTTTAGGGCTTTAGGGCTTTAGGGGCTTAGGGCTTTAGGGGTTTAGGGCTTTAGAACTTTAGGGGTTTAGGGCTTTAGGGGTTTAGGGCTTTAGAACTTTAGGGGTTTAGGGCTTGAGGGGTTTAGGGGTTTAGGGCTTTAGGGCTATAGGGCTTTCGAACTTTAGGGGTTTAGGGCTTTAGGGGTTTAGGGCTTTAGAACTTTAGGGGTTTAGGGCTTTAGGGGTTTAGGGCTTTAGAACTTTAGGGGTTTAGGGCTTTAGGGCTTTAGTGGTTAGGGCTTTGGGGGTTTTGGGGTTTAGGGCTTTAGGGGTTTAGGGCTTTAGGGCTTTAGGGGTTTAGGGTTTAGGGTTCAGGGGTTTAGGGGTTTAGGGGTTTAGGGTTTCGGGGTTTAGGGTTTAGGGCTTGTGGGGTTTAGGGCTTTAGGGGTTTAGTGTTTAGGGTTGTTTTGCCATTTTCGATCTCTCACTAGACCATGGATGTCTTTGGCAACCATAAAGCCCCAAACCCATTGGTCATTTAGACAAGTCTGTAACTGGGTTGTCAACCGAACTTTAAAAAAGCCGTTGGTGAAAGGCTGGCTCAGCATCGTCTCATTCTGCCGTCCATATCGGAGCTCACGGCACCTCTTTGCCTGTGCCTCGGTTTCGGGTTTAGGGGTTTAGGGTTTCGGGTTTAGGGTTTAGGGTTTGGGGTTTAGGGTTTGGGGTTTGGGGTTAAGAGGCTCAGGGTGTAGGTTCCAGGGGTCTGCAATGCTGCAAAGGTTACGGATAGGGGTTCTTTGGGGCTTTGGCTCCAAGTGATTCAGGGTTCACGAGACTTTTATGTTTAAGTCCTTAGGGTTTAGGGTTGAGAGTTGAGGGCGGGTGTGCTTAAGGCTTTTGGGCCTTGGGGTACGGAGGATGTACTAGGTAGGTCTTTCGGAAATTCTAAATTTGCCCTCCTTGGGCCTCAGAGGATCTTGCTTACCCCTAAACCCTAAGCCCTAAACGCTAAACCCCTAAACCCTAAACCCTAATATACATATATATATATATATATAATATTATATTATACTGTATTATATATAGTAGAAGCCCAAAAGTTGGAAACCCAACAGCTTCCATCCTTAAGAGTAATGCAAAGGGAATCCCAGCACTATTTCGCCTTAATCCGGTTTCCAACTTTATGGGGTTTAGTGTAGGGTTTGGAGGCTGGGCTCTACCCTTGAAGCCATCATCTCAGGCGACATCGCCTTAAGGATTCGCAAGGTAGCTCCGGGTTGGGGGGGGGGGTAGGTGTGTATCGCTGATTTCGGTGCCTCGGTGCTGTCGCTGCTGAGCAGTTCCCAGGAACAGAGACGAAACTAAGCCCCAAGCCAGAACTACGGTTGATGATATAAATCTGGCATTTCCCATAGCAAGGAATATACCATAGTTCCCATAAATTAGGGTCCTTAAGGTCATGCAAGATTTATATCATCAACCGTAGGTTCGGCAGTAGTAATCCTTTGCCCTTTCTCTTTTTTGTTTAGGGGGCTGAGTAGATAACCTTTAACCTTTTGGGGTTTACATAATCCTACCATAATTGAATAGGTTAACCTTTTTTGGGCTAGCGTACTGAGCCCCTAGGTTGCTCTTTTTTTGAGGTTCCCTTAGAAAAACCAGTACTGTAGTAGGAAAAGGGGTACCCTCATTACTAAAGGGGCTACTTGGAGGTTCGTGGGCAGTTATAAGTGGAGTTGTAAGTCCCCTAGTACTGCTTATAGCTGAAGGTATCCTACTTATAACCCCATATATATATATGTGTGTGTATATACATATATATATATATATATATGGGTGGTTGTCAAAATTATTGATTGGTCCCTTGTTGGGTCACTATTATCGTACGGCACCTAGTATTTAGGGTACCCCAAAAGGGACCCTAATTTTGACAAGTACCCATACAACCACCCATGAACCTCCATGTAGCAAAGCACTAAACCACAGCCTCCAGGCCGTGCTCTTGCGCGAGCAGTGGGCGGCCTTTCCATGTTTGTAGCCGCCGCGGCCACAGACATAGTAATAGTGTCTATATTCTGCACTATATTGTAATAGAATAGACTATGATATCATATGATCAATGTCTGAGAAGCACGTTTCTGTGCTCGAAGTGGTTAAAGCTGTGGCGGCCAAAGCCTTAAGCCGGAAACGCTGAACGCATTCGGGTTTGGATTGTTTGACACTCGGGCTGCACGAGTCAGCTGTTCAAAACTGGGGATTTCGGCTTAAACAAACCCCAAAACCCTTAAACCCGTTCAGGTTCAATTTCAGGGCTCAAGCCATAGGGCTTTCCTCTGGGAACTTACCCCTAAACCCTAAACCCTAAACCCTAAACCCTAAACCGTGCATCCGTGAACCTCAATCCTTCCCCAACGCCAAGTCCTGTAGCCCGAGCCATAGACCTGTATCAACCCTAGAACCGGTAGCAAACCCCTGTAGAATCCTACGCTAAACCCTAAACCCAAAGCCGTGAGCTAGAACCGTAGAGTCTCCAAAAGCCTCCTGCATCTCTGCCGAGGATTGTGCGCTGAAGTCTCTATGCAATCTCTACAGGCTTCAGGGTCTCGGGTAATGCCGCCTCTAAGCCGCTCAACCCTAAACCCTAAACCCTAAACCTTACATGAGTGTGAGTCACGCTCTAGTGATACTTTTAGCAAATCTCTTCAATCTGCGCATGCAATTGTATCGGAGCCCATTTCTGCCACTAGTTACTCAGTTCTCCAGGGTTCGTCTTCCAGATTTGGAGGAAGCTTGCAGGTGGCAGCTTGCAGGTGGCTTTGTAGGACTTGTGCTTGGGTTTGGGGACTCTACTTGGAGGACTTTCGAATTCCATTCGTTAGCCGTAAGCCCGGAACCCGAAACCCTAAACCCTACAGCTCCTAAACCCGTATATCTGCGAGCCCGAATGCCCGAAGAAGGTTCTGCTTGCTTGGAGCTTCACTAAGTTCATTTGGCAGATTTTGGTTTGGCGTTTGGGTGTCGGGGTCGTGGAACTTGGAACTAGGGCTTAATTAGGGATTTGTGATGTCGGTAGCTTAACCCACACCGAAGACCCGAAATCTTATGCCTAGACCGCGAGAAAACGCCATAACCCGCCTATAAATCAAGCGGGGCTCTCGATGTCTTCCAACTTTTGGCAGGGATAGCTCTTCCTTGCAAAGCTCATGCCAAGCCCGAAACTCTCAACCCTTAACTAGGTTGGATTTTGGGACATTTGTTATTTTCCTTATTTGGGTTTATAAAGGACCCTCTATATATATATATATATATATATATATGTTTTTTCAGGGTGTTTAAAGGCCAACCCAGTTAACCCTAAGCCCCAACCACAGACCTCATGCCCGAGCCCTACACGACACGCTCGAAGCTGTCAAGGCATGCGCAGGCGGCTGCTCATGTCAGTGTCGCCGGAAGTCGAAGACATTCACGAAGTCGTTCGCAAGACGCAGACGACCTCTGCGTGCGCGTGTGTTTACTCTTCTAAACCCTCAGCCCGAAGGCAAGAGGAGGGTGTATGTATACACGCGGCCCACGCAGAGGGGCAAGGAGCATTTGGCCTCTACGGTCAGTGCACTCAAGAAGCTCCTCGAAAGCAGTGTCCTCAGCGAGGCCAAACTGGAGGCGGCCATGCGTGAAGCTTTTACCCTGTGCCCTAAACCCTGAACCCGAAACCCCAGACTCAGAACCCTAAGCCCTACACCCTAAACTCTAAACTGCAAGCCCTAAACACCAAACCTTCTCATCCCCTCAGCCCTCATCCCTATACTCCCCTAAACTCTGAAAGGAAACATGAAAGAAAGGATCCCAAGACCTAGCAGTTTCCGCAGGTTGCTGCCCAGCGAGCTGCGCCCCGAGATGCTGAAGGACCCGTGGGTTTTGGGCTTTGAGGGTTTAGGGCAAACGGCAGGGCACCCTGTCAACTTTAAGGTTTAGGGGCTAGGGCCTAATGCTTTGGGAGTATAGGGTTCATAGGGTTTAGTGGTTAGGGGTCTAGGGTTTTAGGGTTAATAGGGCTCAGGGTCTTTGAGGTTTTACGGTTTAGGGCGGTTTAGGGCTCTAGTACGGGATTTTGGGGTTTTCAGGGTTTAGATGTTTAGGGCTGCGGAGGTTCTGTAGCAGGGCTCTCTTTAAGGGTACTATAGGGGCTGGAGGGGTTCAGGTTTTTATTGGTGGAGGTGCGTTTTAAGTTTTGGGCACCAGGGTTTAGGGGTTTGGGGCTTCAGGGGTTTACGGGCTTTGGTGGCATAGGGCGTTTCGGGTTTAGGGTTCAGGGCGGGCCCAGAATATTTGAGGTTTTTGTGAGTGAAAGCTTCGGGTTAACTGAAGGAAGGATCAGGGGACTCAGTAAGCAAATCCGTGAACCCTGAACCCTCTACTGGTTGCCAGGGCGTTTTCTCGTCCATTTCGAATCGCACGGTGGTGGGCGACCCAGTCCTTTGTACCACAGCTCGGCCTGTCCGTGTTTAGGGGTTCAGGGCTTCAGGGATTTAGGAGCGGTTCAAGGAGTGTTTTGAGGATGAAGGGCTGCCCAAACCCTTAACCCTGAACCCTAAAACCTGAACCCCTGCACCCCTAAACGCTCTGTTCGCTAAACCCCGAAACCCCGAAACCCCGAAACCCCTAAACCCCTAAACCCCTAAAACCTAAACCCCTCAAACTTAAACCCCTAAACCCCTAACTCCCAAACCCTTGTAGAACCCCTTAACGAAAGCCCTTGACGGAACCCTATCCTGTCGATCTTCTGGCCTTTGGTCTGCACGATTTGGGAGTTTCCGAAAATAGGGGACCCTAATACAGTACCCTAGATAGTAGGATCCCTATTATAAGGACCCCAAACTTCGGAAACTCTAAACCCTAAACCCTTTATAGAACTTTTATAGATCCCTTTAAAGGAACCCTTTAGAGGAACCCCGAATTGTCGGAAACTCCCATTTCAGTTCTTCGCCCACCATCCCGACTCTCTGATCCGCCCGAGCCGAAGCCCGAAAGGGTTTACGGTAGAAGCCCAAAAGTTGAGAAGCCAATTAGGGTTTAGGGTTTAGGGTTCAGCAGCTCCGGTCCGGGAAGTTTTACGGTACAGAAATACACTTACAGGTTTGAAATAACACCCACTCACTGAATTCCATAACATTGAGAAAATACAACTTTTCTATTTTTAAGCCAACTTGGATTCACATACTTCTACAATTAAATTATGTTGCCCCAAATCGAAAAGCCATTCCACAACTCTTAAAGTTAGCCCAACGGCTAGCCCAGAAGCCTTGACCCTACGCCCTAACTTTTAACCCAAACCCTGGGCCCTAAACCCTAAAGCTTAAACCCTAGGGCTTAAACCCTAAAGCCCAAACCCTAAGCCCTAAATCCTAAAACCCTACCAAACCATAGGCCCTAAACCCTAAAGCCCAAGCCCTACCAACTTGGATTCACATACTTCTATAATTATGTTGCCCCAAATCGAAAAGCCATTCCACAACTCTTAAAGTTAGCCCAACGGCTAGCCCAGAAGCCTTGACCCTAGGTCCTAACTTTCAAACCCTAGGCCCTAAACGGCCCTAAACCCTACCCTAAACCCTAAAGCCCAAGCCCTACGCCCTAAATCCTAAAGCCCAAACCCTACGCCCTAAACCTTAAAGCCCAAACCCTAGGCCCTAAACCCTAAAGCCCAAGCCCTACGTCCCGCGCCACGATTAAGGGTTTGTGGCAAAAAAACCCTTAGGGGCCATGAAGGTCATTAAGGTCTGGAGGCAAAAAAACCCCTAGGGGCCACGAAGGTCATCAAGGTTTAGCACGAAAAAACCCTTAGGGGCCACGAAGGTCATTAAGGTTTAGCCGAAAGACCCTTGTTCGTGGCCCCTAAGGGTTTTTGGCCCTAGACCCGAAAACCCTTAGGGGCCACGAAGGTCATTAAGGTTTAAAGTCATATGATAAAGAGGTTTAGGGTTTAGGGTTTAGGGTTTAGGGCAATAGCTTCATTCCTTAAGAGTAATGCATAAGGAATCCCAGCACTATTTGGCCTTTATCCCGTTTCCAACTTTAAGTGCCCAGTCAGTGGAAGGGTCGTGCCGATGGTCCCTGCAAAGCGTGTCAACCCGCAGATGATGGCCCAATGCTTGGAGTTGCCGAAACTTCGTGCCTCCTGGGTTGCTACTTAAAGGATCATGGGACTTAGTAAGTACAGTTATAACTACCCAAACTGGGGTTATATCCAATTATAAGTATAGTTACCTTATTTATAACCATAGTTACTAAGTCCCATGAACCTTTAAGTAGCCGTTTCCAGGCGAACAATGGCCGTCAGCTCAAGACTCTCGAAGACGGCTTCGCGACGGCCTATGCAGACATGGCGGTGCTAGGTTATGATACATGGCATGACCAGTTCCATGATCTCTGCAAGCGGAAAGTAGGACCTTTCCGGGAGATTGGTAACCCGCTCCTCTGTCCTACGTGCAACCGCGGGTTTGCGGCCCTTGTTGATGTACCTATAGCGCGCCATCTGAAACCAGGTGTTGATTTTGAGTTTTAGGCTTAACTCGAGTCCAAGGTTTTGCAGATCAGGCTTTAAGCCAAGTGGTTAGGGCTTCAGGTTGAGAAGTTGGGGCTAAACCCTAAACCCTAATCACCCAAAACCCTAAACCCTAATAACTTAACCCAAAACCCTAAACCCTAAACTCGAATCACCCAAAGCCCCAGACCCTTTCGGGCGAATTCTTCTTGGAGCAAGGATCCGTCTTCAGCTCTGTAGGATAAGTGTACCCTCGTTCCTCCTTTTTGGTGTTCATTAAGGGAACCCCAAACATATGAAGAAGAGCGAAAGGGTACTACTTAGGAACCTAGGGCTCATGGTTCATCCCCTACACCCTAAGCCCCTAAAACCCTAAAACCTAAACCCTAAACCTCAAACCCCAAGACCCCACACCCTAAAGCCTAAAACAAGACAAACCCCAAAACCCCAAAACCACAAAACCACAAAACCCTAAACCCTAAAACCCTACAAAACCCCAAAGCCCCAAACCCTAAACCCTACAACCCTACAAACCACAAAACCCTGAACCCTAAAACCCTAAGACCCCCAAACCCCAAGCCCTAAACTTCCTAAACCCTGAAACCCCAAAACCCCAAACCCTAAACTTCCTAAGCCCCAAAACCCCAAACCCTACAAACCCCAAACCCTAAACTTCCTAAACCCTGTCAACATCCCCCAAGCCTAGAACGCTGAACCCTAAGAGCTTCCTTTTTGAAAGCTACTGGTATTAGCCCGAAGCGCTGGATGAAGAGAGCTGACTTCATCTCTCGTGTTCGGGGTTTTGAGGGTCTAGAACAGATTCAATCCAGAGCAGGTTTGACCAAGGAGTTTTGCGCACATAAGGATTGTAGACCCCTAAACCCTAACCCCTAGACCCTAAACCCTAAACCCTAAACCCTAAACCCTAAGCAGCCAACCCTAAACCCTAAACCCTGAGGTTGCCAACATGTTTGTCGGGACGCCGGACACGCAGGCGACGGACCCAGCCTGCTGCAGGCTTACTAGGACCTAGAGTAGGCCCTTATTCCCTTTTTGGGGGTTCAGGTTCCCTTATAAGCCCCTTTAAACTAAAAAGGGCACCCTTTTTATTCCTAGGCTACTCTTGAGTCTAGCTTCAGGTTGGTTTAATTCCGGTTTAGGGCCTGCATTGTTGGGCCAGGGGCTTCCCCTTTTGGGGTTTAGGGGTTTGGGGGTTTGGGGGTTTTAGGGGTTTCGGGGGTTTTAGGGGTTTGGGGGTGCCACCTCAAACCCTAAAATCTTCAAGCCAGAGCAATAAGTTACTATTCTAAGCGCTCTACCCTACATCGGTTTGAGCTTACAACCTCGTACCTTCTGGAGTTTAGAGCTTCCTATAAACACCAACCTCCATCGCCGCAGACAGCAGGCTCGCAAGGAGGAGAAGGACAAGAAAGATTCAGGCGCTGGGGCTAAGTGATGTCGGCTTCAAGATGCGGGCATAGCCTCCAAACCCAAAGGTTTACCGAAGGAGACAAACACCCTTTCAAGAGGGAAGCAATAGAGAGTTTAATCAAATCATCCTCTCCGATTGTGGCACAAGGAACAGGGGCTTCTTTGTCTGGGTAGGGCTTGGAGGAAGAGGGTCTGCACCCTTAATCCTAAACTTCTGGAGCCCTCCCAAACCCTACACTTGGGAGTTTCCGATAATAGGGGTACCTTATTTGGGGGTCCTTATAATACGGATCCCACTATCTAGGGTGCTATATCAGGGTCCCCTATTTTCGGAAACTGCCACTTTCGAACAAAAGGTATCCTCAGTCCCCAGAGTCGATCGGGCTCGCAGGTGGTCCAAACTCCTGGAAGATTGCCGCCAAGGAGCGGCATACTTACCTTTGGTTACTAGGGAATGGAAGAATGGTAGTAATAGTAGTCATAATTTTACTTCATTCCTCCATTCCCTACTAACCAAAGGTAATCATAGGGCCAAGGGGTATCTGCACTCGGGTTGCTCAGGTCTCTACTTGGAGGTTCATGAGTGGTTATAAGTGGGGTTACCGGTCCCCTAATATGGGTTATAACTATAGTTATCCTACTTATAACTACCCATGAGCCTCCAAGTAGGGGTAAAGCTTTAGGGTGTTCATTGAGGGTGGGGAGCTTCTTGGGGGTTCCAGAAGGGCTCTACAAGGTGCACTATTGATATGTCCCCCAAATATTAGGAATGAATATCGTAGACTGTACACCCAAACCCGATTCTAAATACTAAGGCCTCTACAGCATATGGGCTCGGAGATTTGGGGGAGATCACGGCTTGGGATTTAGGGGTTTTAGAGTTTTAAAGTTTAGGATCGGTTTTGGGTTCCTAAACCCTAACCCATAAACCCCTAAACCTTAAACCCAAAACCCTACAAGCCATAGCTTGGGGTTTAAGGGTTTGAGGGTTTTGGGATGTTAGGAGACCACCAAGGAGAGCCCCTAAACCCTACTTGGAGGTTCATGGGTAGTTAAAAGTAGGGTTATAAGCCCCCTAATATGGGCTATAAGTATAATTACTCCACGGTGTTTTAGAGAGTTATAAGTACAATAACCCCAATTAGGGACCTATAAGTCTATATAGTAGCTATACTTACTAAGTCCCCCGACCCTCCAAGTAGGGTGCAGATCGGGGCCCGGGGGTGACATCACCAGCCGGGCCAGAAGTCGGGAGGGTTTGGAAAGGAAGGCGGCTTGGGAAGGTTTAGGGGGATTATAGGGTTTAGGGCTTTGGGGGATTATGGGGTTTAGGGTTAAGGGGATTATAGGGTTTGGGGAGTGTAGGGTTTAGGGTTTAGGGGATTATAGCGTTTAGGGGAGTATAGGGTTTAGGGTTCAGGGTCTTGGGGTTTAGAGTTTAGGGTTTAGAAGAGTTTAGCTTTTAGAGTTTAAGGGTTTAGCGTACAGATAGCCGTGGCAATGTTAGTGTATGTACTGAGAAGGACTGAAACATAGAATGTTTCACCCAGACCTTCCAAAATCCCTTAAATAAGGAATATACCGAATATACCTTAAATCATACTAGGGATCCCTAATATGATGTAAGGTATTGGAATGTCTGGGCAGTCGCACTAAGAGGGGATTCCCTGCTTCTCGAAAACCCCAACTGGCACGAAGCTGGGAGGAGAGGATCGACCAGGTGAAGGACTTGATGTTCTTATCGCGAGAGCTGCAGCATCCGTGCCGCCCAAAGGAGACATCTCAACGCCCTAAATACAATTCAGTAGAAGCCCAACGGTTGGAAACCCAATAGCCTCATTCCTAGAGAGTAACCCCGGCCCTAAATCCAAATTCTCAGCCGCTAGGCCCCAGTCTTACCCCAAACCTCGAAGCCCTGAGGCCTGAACTCTGAAATGGGCAGTTGTCAAAATTCAGGTTCCTTTCTGGGTACCCTAAATATTAGGTGCCGTAATATAGTAGGGACCCAAAAAGGGACCATAGTTTTGACAACCACCCAAATCCTAGACTTTAGCAAGGCCTGCTCGACATAGTAAGGCCCGACGGCCTTCAGTCCAGAATTCCTCTTCATGGTACTTGGCCTCACACGTCTTGTGCAGAGCTTTCAGTCGAAGGTCAGCACTACGGTTTAGGGGCCATGACTATAAATTTCAATATATAACCGAAGTTTCAAGATCCTTATCGTCGTTCATAGTTTTACTACTATTACATGGGTAGTTATACGTAGGGTCAGAAGTGAGTAATTACAGTTTTAAGCTTTGTTAGGGGACTTGAAACCCCGCTTACAACTACCCATGAAGCTCCAAGCAGGGGCCATGCAAGCATTGCAGACGGCGCGTTTATTGCAAGTATATGTGTTTCCTGGATAGAGAAGTATCTGTTACACAGCACTATGTTGCACGGCTGCGCGAGTGTTGCGGGTTGTGGCATCGGATGGAGAGATACACCGGTGGCATTCTCTTTCGTTGCTACTTCGTTTCTCTTTGGCGGAGATGAAGCTAGAACAACAAAAGGTAGCGACCTTTGAGAGTCTAGGTAAGTCTTTCTAGGGCTGGCCCTACCAGAATTGAAAAGGTTTGCATTCATTGGGCTGGGGTGCTCAATCCCTACTTGGAGGTTCATGGGTAGTTATAAGTAGGGTTATAAGTCCCCTAATATGGGTTATAACTGTAGTTATCCTAGTCATGACCCTACTTATAACTACCCATGAACCTCCACGTAAGTCTTCTGTCCGGATCCCCAACACTGCAATCGCAAGCACCAAAGCTGCAAGCTTTCATCCGGCAGTCGCTTAAACTCTAGACCGTTTGGCGTTTGAGGGTTTAGGGTTTAGGCGTTTAGGCAGCTCTTTAGACCAGCCTGGCTCTTGACATCGATTTCGCATCTATCCTCGTTTCTTGAAGGTCTGTTCCGGCCTAGGGCAAAAGGTTTTGCCTCTGCAGCATAGTGTGAAGCGAAGACTTGAACCGATAGCCTGAACCCGGAACCTCCAGCGATAATCCTTAACCCCGAACTCAAAACCACGATGTCGATGTGTATCTGCATATCATGTACATACAAATACACACGCGCGCGCATAGCAGCTAATGCCATACGTGTGGGGTGCCCCCAAAGCCCTACACCGCAAGCCCTAAAGCCCCTAAGTCTTAAAGCACCAAAAGCCTGAGGCCTAAAGCCCTAGCCTAAACTCTAGAAACACCAAACCCCAGCGCACGAAAGCCATAAGCCCTAGCCCCTGTCTGCCGAGGGCCCTCTTCATTGGCCTTCTAGACCAGCCCTCCGGATCCGCCGCGCCCGCAGAGTTTGCAGCTTTGGGCTTTGCAGTGAACCTACTTCTGTTGCCACTACCGCTACCACTACGACGACGACTACTGCTGCCGGCTGGTGCTAGCACGACGACGTCGACCTCGACGACGATGCTAAAGATGACATAGCGACGATGTCAACGCCAACGACGACGACGACTACAACGGTGATGACGTTTCCAACCCCGATGAAGAATAAGATGTATAGGAGCCATAGCTGGGCATAGTCATAGTAGTTATTACTGTTTTCAGAGGCAGCTAGTGCAGCATCCAGCAGCGTGGAGCCGCCATGGCAGTACAGAGTAGCATTGGAAGAAGACGCGGTACTACTATGGCAATTATGCTGACAGACAATTAGTGGCTGACGGACAGGTGCGTACTGCTACTGTTTAGACTATTCATTTCCGTCAGAACTGCTACTATTTTGTCAGTTGTCAGTATCCTTTTCTGAGGTACTTGCAGGTTGATGTGTAGCTATACTCAGGGTTATGTGTAGGGTAACTTAGTTATAACCTATCTTAGGGGACTTATAACCCCACTTTAACAACCCATGAACCTCCAAGTAGAGCCCCTTTACAGAACTTTAGAACCCTTCTAGGAGCCCTTCTAGATCCCTTAAAGGAGCCTTATGAGGCCTACCAACTACCCATGAAACTTCCAGTAGGCCCTAAACCCTTATAGAATCCTTTTAAAATCCCTTCAACGGTACTCTTAAAAGGGTTTAGGGTTTAGGGATTAGGGAAGAACCCGTATAATTCCCTGTGAACCTCCAAGTAGTGCAGAGCATCTTTTTTTTGAGGTTTGGACGGGCGACATCATGAGAGAGGCCGTGGACCTGCAGGCGATTATAGTAGAAGCCAGCAAGTTGGAACATCATTCTCCTCATGCCTTAAGGTGCAGTACAAGGGATCCTAGCACGAATCCTCCTAAAACCATGTTCCAACTTTCTCGGGTTCATCACTATAGGACAAATCGGTCGAACAGGTCTTTTAGAGGGTTTTTGCAGTTCTGAGTCTCTGCATTGTATTGTTGAATGTAGTGTTCGCAACTTTCTGACTAGTTGTGAATATTAATGTGGTAGTGGTGTTTGAAGTTCAGTTTGAAGACTGTGGGCTTGGAGGGTGTTAGTTGGGGACTTGTTTCAGAAGATCTGTAGGCCGAAATCAAGCCTCAACCAGAAACCCACCCAGATTTCTGGCAGCCCTGCAGCATCGATGGCGCACCATCGCAGAATCGTTTCGGAGAGCTGTATGCTGCGGACGCTGCAGCGGACGAGCTGCGTGCAGGCAGGCTGCTCCAGCATTTCTTCGACAACCTGGAGGTGGTTCAGTATGACAAGGCCCACGCGGCGCAGCGGATCCTTAGTCGGACTTGGCCGGCAGATCCTCATATGCATCTTCTGGTGCAGGAGCTTGTCACGTGGACAACGGCGAGCACAACGCCGTTTTTCCGGGTTGCGTGCATGCGCAAAAGAACCTGGCCGAGCAGCTGCGATCAGCCATACTCACACTGAACTTAGGCGACAAGTTCGTCGAATGTGTAGCTCCTAAACCCTAAACCCTAAACCCTAAACCCCTGCCTAGAGACTGGACTCCTGAATGTGGCATTCGTGGGCCCGGACGGAATGTCCGACAGGCAGGCAGTCCTTTTTGTGAGTCCTTTCCAGCTGGGGCTCGATTACTATGCCAGTCCGGCATGGAGCGTTCCTGCCGCTGGGGCTCGTGTGCATCGACTCCATGGCTAAACCCTGAGCCCCAAGCCTTACATCACGTCCCCTAAGGCTCCATGTACCGATATAGTAGGTACTTAGGCCTGAAAGTGCCTATATAGGGACCTCTTTAAGGCTTAAGTATCTACCAGAAAGGTACATGGAGCCTTTGGGATCGTCAGCCTACACCCTGAGCCCTGAGTTTGAAGGTTGGAGCTTTGACATTCGAGGGGTTGCATGTGCTACTGCTGCTTGCATGGCCCTAGCCTCTGATTTTGGGTTGTAGGTGATCGCTGGGATTCTGAAACGTCTTGATGGCTCACTCATATGGGTAGTTCTAATCATTGGGGCTGTCTTTGAGGGCCCGTATTGTAAGTTGTACGTACTCTTTCGGCATTCCTCAGAGAAACCGCATGAAGCTATAGTTAAATATAGTTTAAGTGCAGTTCTGATGCTTTTGACAATACATGGGTGGACCCAGAGAGCCCAATACCCCTTAATTAAGGAATATAGCTTAAATCATAATATTAAGCTCTACATATTTTAAGCCATATTCCTTGATTAAGGGGTATTGGGCTCTGTGGGGACTACAGCCAGCTACAGCCTGTTTCTGCCAAGGCAGATGCCTCTCGAAACCTTGCCCGTCCTCTCTAGACTCTAGAGCCCTCAGCCTTAAACCCTAAACTCTCATGGAGAAAGAGCTCCCAAAGTCCCTAAACCCCAAGCCCGTAGACTCTGAACCCCAAGCCCTAAACCCGAAGACCCAAAGCCTACCCAGAGAGCCCAATACCCCTTAATCAAGGCATGTAGCTTAAACCATAATATTAAGCCCTATATAATTTAAGCCATATTCCTTAATTAAGGGGTACTGGGCTCTCTGGGTATCTCGCTGGGCAGGCTTCATGCCTGCCCGACGAGCTCCAAAATGAAGTTTGCCCGCAAACTTTGCGACCGAAGACGGGGCCTCGGTTGGTGAGTATACTGTACTACGCGTCATGCAATATGAGATAGGATGTTACAAAGGTAAGATAGGACAAGTTGAAAATTGAAACAAGATTGCTAAATACACGTATTCTGTTATAGATATAGATTGATGCTAAGGGTGAGACTTGCCAATAACAGTGATGGCGCCGGGTAACATAATGCTTCCGGCTATTTTGTTCATTGTCTCTTGCTGCGGCTTCAGCACTCTCTGGTACATGAGAGGGTTGCGGTTGTAGTTTCGATTGTCTTGGCAGCAAGCAAAATTGATAAGACACATCCAGTGGTTCTGTTTCGCCGACATCGTGTTGGGAACGATATTGAGGCTACCACCTTGGGCCAGAGGTCCTCTAAACTCTACAGTACACCCTAAGTGCTCCTTCACACCCAAAATCTTGAGGCTCTACGTCTACCTCTTCCACCCCAATGCGCCGCTGCGTCAGACGGCCGGCGACTGAGCACCGTCCGAAGGCTTCATCTGTTCCTTTGATAGGGGTTCCCCCAAGCCCTTCAAGCCCTGATAGTCTTCCTTTCAGGGTTCTCTTTTAGGGTTTAAGGTCTATCTGGAAGCTATATAAGGAACCTACCTTTTTTGGGGGCCCCCTAATATAATTTCTTTATATAAGTCCTTGAAAAGGTACGTTATTTGGGGTTAAGGTACTTGGAGGCCCTTTTGACTTAGTAAGTCTACTTAGTATCCCCTAGAAACCCTATTATAATCCCCATAACCCACCTTACTAACCCTACTTACTAAGTCAAAAGGGCCTCCAAGTAGGGCTTAGGGTTTGCTCGTGGTATGGGGATAGGGGCCCGTGGGTCCCAAGGGTTTAAGGTTTGCATGGGTTCAGGGGCTTGGGGCTCACAACTATGTAGGGTTTAGGGTTTAGGGTTTAGGGTTTAGGGTTCTACAGTCGGCTTCTCTGCAAGAGGCTGATGTCATGTAAGACGCCAGGCCAACCTTTACAGTCGGACATTCGTAGTCCTGGCCCCTCGCCCCTTCCAAGAAAGAGACAGCTAATCCCTAAGCTCTAAACCCTAAGCAACTAAACCTTAAACCCTCAAACCCTAAACCTCAAACCTAAATCTTACACCCCAGCGCCTAAACTCTAACCCGCTAATTCAACCCCCCTCGTAATCTGGAGCTCTGAGGTCGTGTCCGTGATGGCCAACTACTTCGGCTGTGAGTCACCGCAAGCCGTGTCCTCCAAGCATCCCGAGGAGCGACCGGGGTTAAGGATTTAGGGTTCCTTGAAAAGGTTCCTCATATAGGGGTTATACACGATGTGTCCTCCAAGCATCCCGAGGAGCGACCGGGGTTTAGGGTTTAGGGCTTGGGGGTTTACGGTTTAGGGTTCGTTTAAAGGGTTTTATTAGGGTTCCTCTAAAGGGCTTTAGCGTTTAGGGTTGCTTTCAAGGGTCCTCATATAGGGTTTCGGGAGTTTAGGGATCCTTTTTTAAAGAGTCCTCATAGGAGGGGTTTAGGGTTCCTTGTGAAGGGGTCCTCATATGAGGGTTATAGCCGAGGACGGTTGGAGCGACGGGGTTGATGGTTCAGGCTTTAGGATGCAGCTTAAGGGTTAAAGAGTTTACCAACGGCTACTAACGGGTTGAGGCTGAAGAACCCTAAACCCTAAGCCCTAAACCTTAAGGGTCAGTGTATAGGCTTTCGGGTGCAGGGTTCGGGCTTCCGGGTATAGAATGTACCAAAAGACATATGCGGTCTACTGTAACGCACCATAATATATCAGGATATACCATAGTACATCATAATGCAGCACCAGGCATGAGAGTCGACTATAATATACCAAAAACTCATGATATACTACGGTATGACGGTCTATGGTCTTTTCGACAGCTATGGAGACAGATGGGCTTTGGGTTTACGGCTGTTGGAGCTTTAGGGTTTCGGGGTCCAGGGCTTGGAGGGTTTAGTAAGGGCTCCAGGGTTTAGATGGTTTATGTTCAGGAATTTTAACAGAGCTTAGAACTTTGGGGAAATGAGGTTTCTGGGTTAAAGGGCATAAATTGTTTGCTTTGGCATATTTAGGATCTTCGCCATCGCAGGGCTACCTTTCTCACGGACCTCGCGGGTCCTTGTCATCAGGATCCTGCATCGAAGCTTACAGTCTCAGCCGAAACTCCAGATTGAGATTTTGGCAGTTTCCGAAAATTAGGGGTACCTTGTTTGGGGTCCTTATTATAAGGATCCTACTATTTAGGCTGCTGTAATAGGGTCCCCTATTTTCGGAAACTCCCATTTTGGGGTGCGAAGAGGGAAGAGTCGCATCGGGTTTATGATTTCAAGAAGTATGCAGGTCTAGGGAATTACCCACACCCTATGAATATCAGTCCCCACACCTGAATCCTCAACTGAAAACCCCTGAACCTACCCTACACCGCTGCAGAGCCCTACAGAAATCCTTACAGAAACCCTAGTAGAGCCTTAAACTGAACCTTGTAAGAACCATTGTTGTGATTAGTACTATTTAAGATTACCACAATAGCTACAATCATAATACTAACAATAAAAAACAAATAATATAATCATACTAACTACTAACCATGATATATTGTGAGTAGTAGTAAGTAAAATACTGCCAAAATAGCTATAATAATACTACTAACTACTACTAACCATGATATACTGTGACTAGTAGTATTCAAATACTGTCAATATAGCTGTATTCATTACTCAACCCGTCATCCCTCAACGCTTAGCCTTCGACTTCTAAGCGGGTCGAGAGACAGGCCAGGAGGGAAGGCCAGGGGAGGGCTTCGGCTGTCGGTAGCATAGGGGCCGGAATAAGTTTCCTTCGGGGTTCCCTTTTTCTGTTGTAGTTATGCTAGATCTAGTAGGAATAGTAAGTAGTCCTGAAGGATTTCTTTCATAAGACTACGATAATAGGAATAGTGTTACCCGGGGTTCCTTTTTGTTAAGTATAGTGTACTGCAGCCCGAAACCTTGTTCTCAGGCCCCAAAACCCCAAACCCTAAACCCCAAACATCCCTAAACCCTAATCCCTAAACCCTAACCCCTAAACCGTTTATAGAACCCTTTAGGGAATTCTTCAGGGAACCCCTTACGCCAACCCTTGAAGGAACCCTGCTTGGAGGGTCGGGGGACTTAGTAACTGGTTATTTTAGGGACTTATAAGTACCATAACCCCAATTAGGGTCCCTTTTAGGGTACTTATAAGTCTACTTACTACCTACTTACTAAGTCCCCCGACCCTCCAAGTGAGCACCCAAGCCGCCAGGAGTGGCCGGCGCTATCAAAGCACGCACCTGGAAAGCACGCAGACCCTCCAATGTCCCGGAATTCAAGACTAGACCCCAAAGGGTTCCTCTAAGGGTTCCTCAAAGGGTTCTATAAAGGGATTCGGGTTTAAGGTTTAGGGATTAGGGTTTAGGGATGTTTAGGGTTCAGGGTTTAGGGATTAGGGTCAGGGTTTAGGGATTAGGGTGTAGGTTAGGGGTTTAGGGTTTCATGTCCCTTGATTAAAGAATAGAACCTAGGGTTCCTGAAAGGGATCTCTAAGGATTCCTGAAAGGGTTCCTTAACGTGACCTATAAGGGTTCTATCAGGGAAATAGAGAATATACCGTAAATCATATGGGGGATCCTATTATCATTTCGGGTATACTCCTGAATTACGGGATATAGGAAGGCTTGAGCAAGGGATATGCATGTGCTTTGGGCTGCGGTTTAGGGTTTAGGGCTGTGGGGCTGCGGGTTGAGGATTCGAGCTTTGAATTTGGGTCGTAGTTTAGATTTCGATTCTGTACGTTCTGCTTTGAATTTGGCTAGCATGATCGCTGCTCATACTTTTGCTAGTAGGATCTTTCTCTTGATATACGAGGCTCGACTTCTGACCGTTGTGATTGCGATGCCACTATGCGTGCTGTGAGGTCCGTGATTTTGCACATGCACCGTAGTTCCGTTGCACCTGGTATCTGCACACCCAATCCCCGAAGATACCCGCTCCCAGTCTGTATGTCATTCGACGGAAATATTCCCTAAGCCCTTGTAGAATTGTAGAACCTGTATCCTAGTCTCGGGGACCCTGAACCTCAAAACCCGAAGCCCTTAACACTGAACCCTTAGCCCTAAACCCCGTAGCCCTAAACCCGAACCCCAAAGCCCGAAACCCTAAACCCGAAACTCCAAACCCTAAAAATTCCCCCAAAGCCCTCTAAGCCTGGAAAGCCTTAGTAAGAGGTCCTACCTGTGGCCGAAAAGACCTACCTTTTTAGGGGTCCTTAGTATGGTTTTTATAAATGGGTGGTTGTCAAAATTAGGGTCCTTTTTTGGGTACCCTAAATATTAGGTGCCGTATTATATGAAGGACCCAAAAGAGGACCATAATTTTGACAACCACCCACATATAGCTCCTTAAAACGGTAGGTCTTTTCGGCTACAGGTAGACCCTAAACCCTGTAAGCCCTAAGAGCCCTCCTAGGGAAGCATGTCAAGACTGATCAGGTCGTGCTGTCCCTGGGCAGCGAGCGTGTGGCCAGCCGTGAGGCCCCTCATCATTGAGTTTAGGGTTTAGGTTTTGGGGCTTCGGGGTTTAGAGTTTAGGGCTTTGGGGTTTAGGTTTCGGATTTAGAGTTATTCAGGGTGTAAGGTTTCGGATTTGGGGTTTCGGGACTTTGAGGTTCAGAGTTTGGGGGTTTCGGGCTCAAGATTTGGGCTTTAGCGCTTAGGGTTTACGATTTCGGTTCAGGGTTTGGGGGTATGGGGTGTAGGCGTTTGACGGTCGAGGGGTCCCTACAAGGGTTCCTGCAAGGGTCCTTTAAGACCTAGTTTAGGGTTCAGGGTCCGGGGTTCAGGATTTATGTTTTAGGCCTTGGGGGTAAAGGTTTAGGGCTTAGAGCGAGGGATATACGGTGCGGGGTTTAGGGTCCAGGGCTTAGGATGCAGGGTGTGGGGTTTGGGGTGCAGGGTTTGGGGTGTGAGGTTTAGGATTTTGGGCATGTGGCATACTGTTGGTGATAGAAGTCCTGCATTACCCTATTGACCCTAGACTATAGGAATTATGGTATATTCCTTACTATGGGTAATGCAGAGTTTATGTCATCCACCGTAGTGCTGGTAGATGCACTTGAGTAGGCGATGGAGTGTTGCTGCTGTAGGGCAGCAGCGGTCGTCGACTTCGTTGTCAGCGTCGCTGTCGCCAAAAAAAACCTCCGGTTTAGGGTTTAGGGTAAAGTTTCAGAGCCAAGCCCTGCGCCCGCAACCTTTTTACTTTGAATAAAGCACCCTAGGAAATGCTACACCTATTGAGGACACTAGATGACAATCGGGAACCCTAAAGAACAATATTCTGTTACTTATTCAGGCCCCCTACATTCTGCATTGGCCATGCAGAGCCGTAGTGCAGGCGGCGGTGCAGGCGGCGCAGACTTTGTTTCGTGGTCGGCTGTGGTCTGAGGCCAGGGCTTTGTGTTCAAGCTTTACCCTGATCCAACCCTAAACCCTAAACTCTAAACCCTAAAGCCCTAAACCTAGGACCGAAATCCTAAACCCGAGCCCCAACAAGGCTAAGCCTTAAATCCTACACCCTCAACCTTACGCTTTCAGCAGAGCAGCAATCACAGCAGGCTTTCGGTTGCGCACGAAGCACGCGTGTAGGGCTTGGGGTCTCGGTGTAAGACCATACATTTCAGGATTTAGGCTCGGTTTAGGTTCTTCATAAACGAACCAGGCCATTTTATTTTGGCACTGAGGACAGGTCTTCAATAATTACCAATATATACTATGTTGGGGGTTCCTTATTGTAGCTATAGTATAATGGGCCCCCAAGCCCTATTCTAATTATCAAGGCCCCTTACTTATGAAGGACCCTAATAGCATACCCTACCGAAGCACAGCTTGGTGCGTCAGCTGTTCAGCTCAGGGATCAGCGCCCATGGCTTTGTCAGAACGATCAGGGTTCGGAGATCCGTCGTCTCGAGTTCCTGAGTTTAGGGTTAACGGTCTTTCGAGTTTAGCGTTTTGCGCTTTATAAACTTCAAACGACCCGGTAGCCGCAACCACCAATCCGAAAACCTAACCCAAGCCCCATTGACCATGCACATACCGCTCATGAAATCCCGATGCAAATCAAGCAGAAACATTGTTTGCGCCTGTAACAAACAACAGGTACACCAGACATAGTAGGCTTCAGTTAAGGCTGCCTTCGATTGAAATACAAAAAATCCGTAGACTCTCTCGTGGAATCCTATTTGCATCTTTCTGAACCTTCAGCCCAACCTTGCCAAACCCCAAACTCGAACAATTTGCTTGAAGCCCTCCATATGGCTTCTCCACAACATAATCCCACATCTTGCGTAACACAGAAGCTACTTCTTTTCCCATAGTTCAACGTACTTAACCTGATGCAAAGATGTGCCAATATGCTTAGACCTTCGTGAAATCTCTTGTAGCGCCTGTACAGTTCCTAAAGCTTGTTGCGCCTAGAACAGCTTGACCCCAAGCATTATGGACCCCCGAAGGACATCAGCATAAGCATCTTATAGGGATATCCCTACATTAGTGGGCTTCAATATAATGGGTTTTATATGGGATATCCCTATCCTTGTGTTTGCTTTGTGCCTTTGTTGGGACCCCCCCAGCAGGTGTCTTCCATCTTCGAGGATCTTTGGACCATCGTCGTGAAGCTCATGGACGACTGGAGCTCAACTGGGTTCTTGTTAAGGGCTTTAATATAAGTTACCATAATAAGGACATCATATTATCTACTTTTGATCCCCATTATGGTAGCTTAAAATAAATCCTTTAGCAACACTTCCTTGGAGCATCAGGAGGGGTTTGGTTTCGTTTCGTATTTCACAAGGGTTTAGGGTATAGGGTTTACAGTTCAGGGTTTAGGGTTTAGGAGTTTGTAGGATGTAGTTTGAGGGAGGTTTTGGATTTGAGGGTCTAAGTTTTAACTTGGCCTTTCAGGACTCACCCTTTGCACTACTGCTCCTATGTTCCTCCTGGGTTATCCTTGACGAAATCGTTAAACCATAAATCCGAAACCTTATGTAGCCTGTGATGTTGCCATACTTGCCGAGGTTGTTCTTGCAAATGCATAGTCTTCTTGTTGTTGCTCTTGGGCTGTTCCTATGCTGTTGTTGGTTGGTAAGCCCAGGGAGCAACGTCCCCTTGCTGAAGCATAGAACATGAGATTATCTTGGCGTTCTTCTGGTTGGCTCTGGCGACTCCAACTTTTGTAGGGTTTCTATATGAACTCTAATTAGGAGGCTAAAAGTTTAGCTTTTAGGAGGGGTTCAGCCAATTTATAGGAGCGGGATCCTCAATCGCGACTGCTGAATCAAGGGGTATGAACATGCAGCATGCACATGCCCAGCTTATTGCTTGTTTTCTGAGTCCGAAGATTCTGAACGCACTCCTTTGTGGCCGAGGATATGGAGCAGCAGATTCAAGCCGTGGTGCCCCATGCTCGCTTCTGAAGCCCGAGCTGAAACATCCAGCACGCCCTTAACTGAGCAGCTCTTGAAAAAATCATGTGTGTGCCACAGTACTTGGAGAAAAAATTGACCTTTGAAAGGCCTCCAAGAACAGAACAGCCCAGTACAAGGAGGCTGCGCGAATCCTAGGGGCTAAAACCTGTGACACCTGAATCCCAGAAGCCGACCACAGATCCCACTTTTGATACGCCCAAGAAAGGATTTTGCACGCTACATGTACTCAAAATTATGGAGAGCCTTACTTTCTAAGTCCCTTGATCTTGTGAGTAGCTCATCGAGCCTAGCAAACCAACACTTGCTGCTACAGGGGCCGACTTGGGGTGCAGAGAGATTTCGGGGCTTGTTGCAAGAGAACTACCTGAACCCCAAAAGTATGTAGAAGAATGGCCTTCTAGAGGTGTTGGGCCATTATTTTGCCTCCCTTTGGGGGGGGGTGTTGGTAAGGCAGGTAAGGGTTTAGGGTTTCGGGCTTAGGGATCTAGGGTTTAGGGCTTAGGGATTCAGGTTTCAAGCTTTCAACTTTAGAGTTTCTAGTTGCATGCACCGCCAGGTCAAGCCGTTGGTACGCATGATGCGGAACCTGACATTGAGGCTTTGACCAATGCATCCATGTGTGGGGTCCCATTTCTGGTTGGCCCCCAAAAAAGTGCGGCACCCGTATGTATAAGAAGGACAGCGAAGGGCCCTAAAAGGGACCCACATGCAGAGAACTACCCACATGCTAGCCTTTTGCTGGCCAGGGGTTCGGTGGGCTAGAAGGACGCATGCTGCATAGGGTTTCGGAACCCCTAAACCCTAAACCCTAACCCCAAAGCCCACATCAGCATTGACAGCATCGGAAGAGAAGCGGCTGTCCATCCTGACAGCTGTACCACTGTCCGTGCGCAGGCTCTGCGATGTCAAGGTCACGCCCCGGAAGGACTTACATAAGGGTTTAGGCCCTTAGGTCTTGGGGTTTAGGGTTTAGGTCCTTAGGGCTTGGGGTTTAGGGGTCTAGGGCCTTAGGGGTTTAGGGGTCTAGGGCCTTAGGGGTTTAGGGGTCTATAGGGCCTTAGGGTTTAGGGTTTAGGGGTCTGGGGCCTTCGGGTTTAGGGTTTCGGGGGGGGTTTAATACCAGCAGCAATGCATCCTCGTCTCTTTACCCAGCCGTCTTCGCACGCGGAGTGCTTTTTGCACAAGCATCACACGCTTCCGGCATGCAGAAGCATACCGCATTGAATCACCGGACTTTCGACCGGTTTGAAGCATGTTGATGTTGATGTATACCTAGAATCTAGAACCTAGGACCTTGACCTCATCTACGGTTCATTGCGCCCCCCAAATGCTGAAAGTTCAGGGCCCTTACCTCAACTGACGAAGTCCTGGTACAGAAGGCCCTTCAAAGCATCGGACGTTCTGGGGTTTTAACGGGGGTAGTTTAGGGGTTTAGGTGTCTAGGGGCTTAGGGGTTTAGGGGTTTGGGTGTGCAGGGCATTTTAAAGCACCTGTGGCCACAGCCATGGATGCGAAACTGGGATTTTTGGCGTTCCTGGGCCTGCTTTTGGCTCTGCTTCTCCCGGCCGTCTTCAAAGCTGACTTTGAAGCCGCTACGGCCATCAAGGATAAAGGTTTTAGGAATTTAGAGTTTACGGATTTGGGGTTTAGTGTTTAGGGCCAACTTTAGGGGATAAAGTTTGGGATTTGGAATTTAGGATTTAGGGGTGAGGGTTTAACGTTTGGGACTTAGGGCTTAGGGGTTAGGGTTTAGGGTCTAGGGTTTAGGGTTTAGGTAGATTTGTTAAATATCCCGAAAGGCCAAAAACGCAACAGTATCAAGACTCTACAAAACCCCGTCAAGGCTTGATCAACCCTACATAGTACCCCATCAAACCCAAAGCTCTAAACCGACGGTGAGGCTGTCGACCATGACTACGTGCGGCTAGACCCCTGCAAAGAAGCCACTCTGAACCTGGGCTTTCGTTACGGAATTGAATTTCATTCACCAGATTCGGGATCGTTACAACACGGTTTCATTTTTTGTGGTAACTGAAATAAGCTCCCTAGCAAGAACGCAGGAAGAACTACAAGTTCTCCTGCGCGAAGATCTCAGACGAATCCAGGGACCTCTTCGGCAAGGAAGGAGTGGTAGTTCTGCGCGAGGTGTTTGATCCAGAGGTGATCGAAACTGAGCTTTTCTTCAGGAACTTTTTTCAAGTTATCATAATCGGGATCTATAGTAAATAACATGATGTCCTTATGATGGCAACCTATAAGAGATTCCGCAACATGCACCCAGGCAGAGCTGGCTGCGGAGGTGCAGTGTCGCATGAGGCCCAAGACAGCGGCGGAGGACTGGGCGCTGTCTGCGGAGAACGTTTGGATGGATTCCGAGGTCTTTGCGCAGCTGGTGCTGCACAAGGATAGCCCTTTGGGATGTCTGGCAGCACAGCTCATTCCGAATGCCAGCACCATCCGCTATGCACACGAGACTGTGACATTGCTCCAAGAGGGGCAAAATGGCTCAACCGCCTGGAGCACCGACGCCATACCCAGCAATCTTCGCGACGAGGATCCGGAGGATGTGCCCTTGATCCGCTTCTTTCTGCCCCTTGGGCCTCAGAACCTCAGCAACGTCACCGGTGGCTCCTTGAAAATCATACCACTTAGCGCCTACACCAAGCTCCGAAACTTCTTCCCTCCTTGCTTCGAGGGCCGCGCGGACGAGGAGATGAAGGCCACAGGAGAACTCAAGGGAGATTGCATGGTGGCTCACCAACTCGCCTTCGCCCCTCAGCTCGCAATGGGTGACATACTGCTTTACAGCCCACTTATACCGCACCTTTGTCATAGTTGGGTAACATTCTACATTTTTATGGATACTTCAACCCAACAAGGAATAGAACTTGCCATGCTTAAGACCATCTCAACCATGAGCCAGGCACGTCACGCAGCAAATGCTCACCGGCTCGCGGCTGGCTATGCAGGGGAGCCTCTATGAACCTGACCTTCTGGTGCCGTGGGTGCGGGACATGCCACCACCCAAGTACCTAGGTGAATCTTAGAGGTCCTGTTTTCTTTCGTGGTTTGAGTTCCGAATATGGAAAATGGGATCCCATAAAGACTGTTTTGCCTTTCGTGTTTCTTAAATCGCCTAATATTCTCGAAAAGGCAGTCGAATGGAAGAATCCTTCTCTCCTTCCTAAGAGAGATCAAAGGTACGTGGACCCTCTGCGCTTCAACATCCAAGGCTCGATGCGGTACGACATCTTTTGCCGGGAACTTGGTACTATCTATCTCTTGTTTAAGGTTTTTAAGCGTTCTATAGGGAAATGATCTTGTATGGGGGTGTATTTAGGGTCTAGGGGAATATGCACAAGGCCAAACAGTAGGCGTAAGTATCCGGAAAAGAGCATCAAGGTCTGGAACAGGCTGCCTGTTGGGATCACCAGGCGCGACAGTGTCACCACAACATCAACTGGCAGAGCGCCGCAACCCAGGGCATCAGCGAGGAGCCCACAGCTTGCTTTCCACAAGTGTATCTAGGTTCCTTCAGTGGTGCATTCTTAACATATGGGAGTTTCCGAAAATTGGGGTACCCTATTTTGGGGCTCCTTATCACAAGAATCCTACTATTTAAGGTACTCTATTAGGGTTCCCCATTATTGGAAACTCCCATATTTGTATCTGGGTTCCTATCATAACAAAGCAAAGACACAACCGTATACAGCCTAGGTATCCTCACCCCGTGGAGAGCGAAGTAGCGACCCGGTTCTCCAATGGGCTGTGGAACCCAATGGGGCCGTCTGGAGTCAGATCGCGCTGGATCCTGTATTCCTTCCCAGTGGCCAGGTTTCGGGTTTAGGGTTTAGGTTCCCGAGTAGTACCCTTTTGCCCTTTTTGTCTTTGGGTTCCCTTGTCAAACCCAAATAGTAGGAAGAAGGGTACCCTTATCATTAAGGGGCTACTGGGGGACCAAGGTGGTCAAGGCCTCCATGGCGCCCATGCATATTCTGTTGGACTGGTGGCATCGGTTCGTGTGAGCACCAGTACGACTCCAGAATTTTAATGCGTTAATGTTCCAGCTTGGCCTCACATGCTCTCGTAATGTTCGGCCAAAATTCCAGGCGAGACTGGTGCGTGCTAGTGGATGTTCGTGCAATTCAGTATGTTGGAACAGGTCCTTGTTTTGAGAGGCGACAGCCGGACTAGTTAGCTACCTATCAGTCAAAGTGCCATTGTCAATGTCATCATGTGTCTGTGCCTGTTGGCAACCCCAAGCGGCAATAGTTGTGTAGAAGCCAAGCTGGTCGGTGATTTGGAGACTAGTTGAGGGTTTAGGGTTCAGAGACGTCATGCATTGAATTGGTGAACAGTGTTCACGTGATTCAGGAGCAACAAGTAGCAGCAGCGATCACAAAGACCACGGGAACGACGACTACTACTCCTGTTTCCTGCTCCCACTTCTACGACTCCTACTCCCACTCCTACTCCCGATCCTCCTACTCTTACTCCCGATACCCCTACTCCTACTCCTACTCCTACTCCTCCGCCTCCTCCTCCTGCTCCTGCTCTTGCTCGTGCTCTTGCTCCTGCTCCTGCTGCTCCTGCTCCTTCTCCTCACGGCCATGATCTTGATGGTCGGGAAAACCATGAAAAATGCATAAGAAGAAGGGTTAATGTAGAGGCCTATATATTCCGTGGAGGCCCGTATGACAACTACACCATAAAGGAGCCCAGCACCCTATTGCATTAAAGGCCCTTACATGACTGCATGAGGCATACCTTAACTTGATGACAGTGATTTTTTTGGTTGTCATAAAATCATGAATCATGGTGGCAGAGATGGTGCAGGAATAGATCTTTTCCTTGGCTTTTGTTCCGAAAACTCAAGCCCTAAGCCCCAAAGCCCTAAATCCTAAAGCCCTACGCTCACCCCTCGCCCTTGGAGGTTCATGGGTAGTTATAAGTAGGGTTATAAGTCCCTTAATATGGGTTATAGGTATAGTTATCCTGCTTATAACCCTACTTATAACTGCCCATGAACCTCCAAGTAGACCCTAAACCCTATACCCTTATAGAATCCCTACAGATCCCTTTAAAGGAACCCTTCAAGTAACTCTAGCGACGCGACTGAGCACGTCAGCTTGGAAGGACGTCGAGATTGCCATGGCCGAGATAGTTCCTTTGCTGCTGCGCTTCTGCGAGTTGGAGCCCGGGAGTTTCCGAAAACAGGGACCCTACTATAGTACTTGAAATAATGTATTAATTAATTAATTAATTAATTGATTGATTAATTAACTTATTGATTAATTAACTAATTAATTCATTAATTAATTAATTAATTAATTAATTAATTAAACTAATTAATTAAATTAATTAGTTTTTTTTGGCCTTAGTATAAGGACCCCCCAAAGTAAGGTACCCCACTTCCTTGTGGTACAGAGTGAGAATCCTAAAGGTCAACAGGGGCAATTCGCTAAATTTGGGTCCCTTTTAGGGTCCTTTTTATAAGGGTACCGTATTACTTTTTGGACTTAAAGGGGACCGGAATTTAGAGAAGTAGCCCATATCCGAGTAGCTAGGTCCCAAAAGCCCGAGCAGGAAGCCAGCCGAGAGAAACAGCAGTAGACCTGCAAGTATTCGTCCCTTGCATTTTACTGAGCACAAACGGCAGCAAGCGTGGACCTGATTGCGTTTCGGAAGGAAGCCAACCCAAAACCCTGACACGGAATGGCATCTCCCCATGGGTGTATTACATACCTACATACACCCACCTGCGTACGTACGTACATACATACATAAGTACATACCTGGAGGTTCAATGGTAGTTGTATTATAGGTAGGGTTTCTAAGTCCCCTAATCTAGGCTGTCACCATAGCTAGTTACAATAATAACTACGCATGAACCTCCAAGTAGAGCCCTTCTAGAACCCTTCCAGAGCCTTTCTAGGAACTTTGCAATCCCTACTTACAACTAACCCATGAATCCGAAACCCTAAACCCTAAACACTAAACCCATGAATCGCCAAGTTGGGGTCGTTGGGTTTCCTGGGAGCCCAAGGCGCTACAAGCACGCTCAGCCGGTGTGCTTCGAAGTGATGAGGACCGGATGTAGGGTTCAGGGACTTAGGGTTTATGGTTTAGGGTTTAGGATTTAGGGACTTAGGGTTTAGGGTTAGGGACTTAGGGTTTATGGTTTAGGGTTTAGGGTGTAGGGTTTAGGGTTTTAGGGTTTTAGGGTTTAGGGTTTAGGACCGGGTTTAGGGTCTAAGGGTCTGGGCTTTTAGGGTTCAGGCTTCACGGTTTGGGGTTTAGGGCTTGGTCAGTGACGGGGACCCGGATACTTAAAGGGCTTTGAAGGTGTAAGGGGATATCAGAGTTTGAAAGGGTTTAGGATGATTTGAGGGTTTAGGGGTTTCAGACTTAACAGGCTTACGTATCGCGGGGTTTAACTTTAAGAGTGAGGGGTATTTAGATGCTCGGGGGAGGGCTTAAACGTTTTAGAACCTAGGGGTTTGCGGGATTTAGGGTTCGACAGCATGTAATTACTGGTGTTATTGCCCAGTGTTCTTCTTTAGAGTTCTACTTGAAAGGAGTCTCGAATAGTGAGCAATATTATTCCCCGAGGGTTCCTTATTAGAACCTTACATTAAAGCAGCCCAAAACTTTATTCTGATAGTCCGGATCGCCAGGACTCCCGGCTTCGCTAAAGCCGCTGAACCCTTAGACTCTATTCCTTACGTCTCTAAGTTCCCGAACCCTTAACCTTAGGGTTTAGGGCTTAGAGTTTCGGTTCAGGGTTTAGGGTTCTCGCCGCCGCCACCGCCACCACCGCCGCCACCGGAACCCGTCTGTAAGATGTGGACAGGCGCGTAGTCAATTGAAATAACGGATCCTTGCTCGATGTAGGCTCCGGGTTCCGTAGTTTAGGGTAAGGATTCTGGGAGTTAGGGTTAGGGCGCAGACTTCAGAATTTGACAGTTTGAGTCATTGAGGGTTCGAACGTACCTACGGGCAAAAAGGTTTTGGGTGAAGGGCTGCCCTTACCTGCATGTGGCTGGCAGGGAGCTCATCAAAGGGGCGCACGGCACGAGCCTGCTTGAGCCGCATGTGCCCGGGCCCCATTGCTTTGAGATCCTGACTCATGGCCGGACGGAAGTAGTGAGAGCATTTTTCATGTTGGGAACTATATATATATATATATATATGTATATATATGTATATATAACACACACATCTATATATATATATATATGTATTATATGTATTATATGTATATAGTATATATACACATGTATGTTGTAATCAAAAGTAATTAATGCTGTGTGGGCATGCAGGAGCAGCATTGCTAAATCTTCTGCTCCGGTTCAGGGTGTGCTTGCCTTAGTAATCACTCCGAGTGAAGGCTTCCGAGACTGGTCTCAATGGGTGCAACCAACTTCCCAGGGAGCCCAAGACCCCTTAATTAAGGAATACCTAGGGCCTAGGGTTCCTTTGAGGGATCTATAAGGGATCTATAGGCTTGGGATTTAGGGGATTCTAATACCCCTTAATTATGGAAAATAGCTTAAATCATAATATTAAGCCCTATATAATTTAAGCCATATTCCTTAATTAAGGGGTATTGGGCCCTCTGGGTTTATGCACGTTCACGATAACCCCCAAAGCCATGGGACCCGAGAGCATCTGTGGATTTTAAACCCACATGGAACCGGTGTATCGAAAGCCTTTAAGCTTTCCTTCCTAGGCAGCACCTGGTGCCGCCGCTCCTGGTGTCCCTGTCTATGCTGGAGAACGATGCGCTCCAGATCGGGACTGAGAGGTTGTCGGAACTGAGGCTTTTAGGATTTAGGGTTTCGAGTTTAGGATTTAGGGTTTAGGGTTTAGAGTTTAGAGGGTTTTACGATTTAGGGTTTAGGGTTCAGAGGGTTTTAGGATTTAAATTAGGATTTAGGGTTGTGGGGTTGCTGTCAGGGATGCAAGTTGAGATACTAAGGCAACAGAATCTCCAAGGGTAGTCTAGGTCTGTGATTCACACTTTGTTACTCTTAGGATTGTGTAAACCAAGGGATACTTCAAACTGTCTTTTTTAATTTATCTCCTAAGTGTAGCTGAAGTATAGCTTGGGCTGAGGGTTGAGGTCTAAGGTTTGGGGCAATATGTAAGGTTTTTAGGCTTTCGAGTTTGAATCCAGGGTTTCAGGTCTAAGGTTTGGGCTGTAGCACCTTTCGAGCTAGGGTCTAGGATTTAGAGTTTATAGGCTACATGAAGGCCTTGGCTTAGCAAGGCAATGCAGTAACGACAAACATTCCTCAAGTGTGTTGATTCGAGGATGTGAAAGCGAAGTATTGATTGGAACATCAAAAGGCCCACATATACCTGATCAGCAGCCCAATCGGAGTAGATCTTTTCGACAAACCAAGTTCAAGTTCTATCGCATTTAGGGCGAGTAGGCCAAAAAATGAGAAATCTGATGCCTAACGCCTTGCACTGGCTTTCGTCGGTGCTCAGATACTACCAGTTCCACATCAGCGCCAAGTCGGAGGAGAAGGGGAAGGAGTGCTCCGATCGTCATGGTGCACGCCCTACTTGGAGGTTCATGGGTAGTTATAAGGGTTCCTTTAAGGATCCCTTTAAGGGATCTATAGGGATTCTATACGGGTATACTGTTTAGGATCTACTTGGAGGTTCATGGGTAGTTTGGAGTAGGGTTTATACGGCTCCATAAAGGGATCTCTAAGGGGCCTCCTTAAGCGTTCCATAGTTCCTTAAGGGGGCCCCAAGTTGGAGTTCATGGGTAGTTATAAGTGGAATCATGAGTCCCTTAATTCCGGTTATAGCTATAGATGTGCTACTTATAACCCTACGACTTATACCTACACATGAGTCTCCATGTAAACCCTACCTCTGTATTTAGGATCCTATCAAGTAACCCCCCAGATGCACTGCAGTTATCGATGGTTCGAACAAACACACCTTTCAACTCCCAAAGGCAGGGCCGTAACCTGCACAAACGTAGGTCATGGCACGTAGTGTAAGG